ATATATGCTCTTACTGTCTGTTATATATGTGATATTGATTTCACGTGTTGTGTTTCTGAGCGGGTTATGAAACTCTCACGAATAAAAAAAAAACTCGCACTGACCAGCGTGGTAAAATTTGGTAAAAACAACCCCGGTGACTGACGTGTTCATAATTTACATCTAGAAAAACAAACGGTGGAAAAGTAATGTGCAGTGACTGCTGATATGCACAACATCACACCACAACAAAACATCTCTGCATATAAGGGTATTTCCAATTACAGTAGAAACTCACATCTTAAATATGCCGTCCATTTATTCAAGCAGAATAAATGTCTTTTTGTTTACGCTACGTTCTTGCAAGTGTTTCACGCATCATAATACAGTTCTCTGAAAACGCAGTCCTCCTGACGTATCACATCGGGTGTTTTTTTTCTGAAGGGAATTTATTGAAATGAACTGGTCCACGTGGACTTTTAATGGATGAAATGAATTATATAAAAAAAGATGCATCTAATTTCCCTTGCTTTAAGTCCTTGTTACACCTCCGTCCTAGAAAGTATAAGACGTCACATTTGTCAAAAGCTGGTTTGAAGACGGGAAAAATAATTAAAATGCATAGCTAGACGGTGCATTTTTATAGGATATTGGTCATTTGGAAAGAAGAGTTGGATAAATGGAATAATTTTTGCATTATACATTTTTTATTAATATATTTTTAAAAGGTATGCATTAGTGGGAAAAAAAACTGAATACATTTTCTGTTGATATGTATACAATATTTATAATTTACAACCTTGTCATTCCAATGGATATTGTTATTTTGAAAATTAAATTTTGGCATCGCATTACATTACCACATTACCGACCGCCCTCTTGCTGTTAACTTGCAACGTTTCAAAGTAGCACGATCGTATGAAATCGCACGCTGCTCGGCTTGGCGAGCAGTGGTATTGTCACCGGCCGAGCGGTCAGCCCTCTCACCTCCTCCATGCCCCAGTGTCACCGTAGGTGAGCTGCCAGGAGTATTAGTTGAGAGTAGCCAGGGTGCGTGACGGCACAAAAATGAGCTCAAAGTGGCAGCCTTCACTTCGCGCAGGACGCACGTGTGCGTGCCATGGGCAGAAACGGCATTTCGGAGTTTTCAATTATTCCGGGTCATAGACAGGTGTTGCTGGGTGCAGATCGCGATGGTAAAGGTTTTGCACGATCCGCAGCCAATATTACACTCTCTTGGCTGATGCGTGCCTTCATATGGCCGGGCTTTTTCCATCACAGCTTTTTCACTTTGCAATACACTACCTCATGCCCTTTCTGCTTAAAGAATGTTACCAACATTTTTAGACATCGTTTTAATATTAACATTAGTAAACCATAAATAGACATGCTACAAATGCATACAAGTAAACATATAATCATCGGCATCATTAATACCAGCAGCGGCAGCAGCAATGCTCTGTCTGATCCTGGATGAAGACCTCTCCTATAGTCGCTACTCCCTAGAGTCCCTTGATGCCAGAAACATCTCACTCCTGCACACGGGCTAAGCTCATCGCTTCAGTTCCACGGTAGTCATCCTCTTGGGTGCAATTCCTCCCCTGGCTGCTACTCCGTTCCCAATCACAAGCCGATATACTTTTCTTCATGGTTAATATGATGCCTCTTAGTTCACATTCACTGTCTGGTCCATGTGTTCCTCTTCCTGCCTCTTAAGTTAATTCCCAGCGTGCATCTCTCCATGCTTCCGACTGTTTCTGTTTTTGTTGCATTTCCCTTTTCGTTGTCCATGTTTCCTATATATTTGTCATTTTTGTAAACTTTCTTCTTTGGATATATTTGTATGTTGCTTCTGATTAACATCATCATCTTCAATCTTCCAAAAATTAAAACAACCTTCGCTCGCACTTTTCTCCATTTCATAAATTTGATTCCTAAATATACTTTTTTCTGTTGTGCTCTCCAGTAATGTCCCTCTAACATTTTCTTTTATGATCTTTGTTCAGCTCATATTTATCTTCAGCATACGTATAATGACCCTTGTCAACAAACCTGAGGTGTATAATCTTTTTTTACATTCATGGCGAAGCCTTTAATTCTGCAGTACAATGTCAGAAAATATCTTCTGTCACTGTCAATTACCTTGGTGAGATCGTATCTACTTGCGTGACTCCACTTCTAATTTTATTTTGTTAAATTCTTCACGCAAGCTCAGTGTAGCTGTGTCATCTTCATAAATGGTTTCATAATTTTTATACACTTTTATTTATTTAAGACCTTTGTTTGTGAGAGATTGGATGATTGCCTCGGGTTTCCATTGAATCAAATGCCTTTTTGTGAACTGAAAAAGACAGGCATAGCGGTATTTGATATTAATCTGTATTATCTATAATCTGATCAATCGTGTGGGGTTAGTCTTAGAGAGGAAAAAACAATTCGAATTCCAGCTTGTTGCCGTGGCTGTCTACATCAGTAGTTATCAACCTTTGTGTTTGCCTTTATACTTTGTCTGTGTAGTCCATTATGATGCGAGTTACCTCACTATTTACAGCACTTGGTGACATCTCATTCATCAGTTTGCCTCTCCAGGGCTGTGAATGTTACCTAGAACCAGTCTAAATTCTCCTACCCCTAGAACTAGATTTGTTTTTATGCTAACCATCCTACTTTTCCCTCTAATTGTCCTTGCACTCTCATTGTCTATGATCGAACTTGCATTTCACCACCCGTGACCACTTCATGCGTGGAATGAACTAAAGACAAATACGTCACGTATCATGTCTTCATATGGACTCCTCCACGTCCGTTACCTGGATCTATTTTGAAAGAGGTGTCCGTTGTCATTGAATCGCTGCTTTCAAGGAACTCTCGTCGTCTTTAATGCAAGGTACGTAAATCGAGCAGAGATGAGAGGATGTCAACACATGGCAGTGCATTTGTCTAAATGCTCTGGCGAGAATTACTGAAATAATATGAACGCAGTTGCTGCATTGCACCGCTGAACTCACAATATAAACGTGGGCACGTGCACACACGCACAACGAATGACCGCAGTGGTCATCTGTGTTGAGGTCCGTATGAGTAACTCTTGATTATTCATGGGAAGATTATCTGGGGTTCAGATCAGCCATGCTTGTGTAAAAAAAAAAATCCGTTGAAATGTTTCAATACACACCGGTTTCACTCGGCGAGGGTCAGCGACTCAGTGCACGTGAAGAAAACACCAGCAACTCTACATCTTCACCCCCATTTAAGATCTCGAAATAATAAGTGTTGTATAGCCTAATTTACATGGTTTGTATTAATATCTCTTTGTTTTATTTTGCACGACCCCCCCCGCCCCATAATCCCAGATAATCAGTGCTGGTTGTTTTTACTTTTGCTTTAGATGTCAGTGCATCACGTTACGAATTTTAATCCTTTACAAAATTAAACACGATTGCAATGTCAACATATTTTAAACGTACCTCATTTCAGATAGCCTCATTTGCTTTTGAATAACATGGCGTTTCTGTGTCAATAACTGCAATATGGAGCCCTGTGTAAGTTTTATGAGCACTGATTGAAAAATCAATAGACTTGCGTGTGGGTTTCTTTGAAGGCAATGGACGCATTGCTTGGGGACTTTTGTTTTGTATTCACACACTGGTTATAAAGGAGGGGGGGGGGGGGTTAATATGTCACAGTGTATTAAGTGCTACACGTATTTATCTGCATGCTTTTAAACCAATTCCAAGCTCCAATAGAGAGCAAGGCAGCAACACACAGGGATCTCAGTGCACGCGCTCTGGCTGTAAGCAGAACGCATTACACAATCATTTATTCTGTACGCATTATTTCCTCATTTTAGATGTATTAATAGTCAAAATGACACGATTAATCCTATTTTTCAGAACACAATTTATCCCCTCTGAGCCACATGGATTTGAAATGCCTTACAAAGCCATTTAATCCAAACCATTTGTTTTCCTCTTCCCCCCCCCCCCCTGCTCAGCTTTCTGGTATCTCTCATCCCAGCTATGTCCCTGGGTCTTCTTTGTGTGCCACTGACAGATTATGTAAAATAAAAAAAAGGGATTTTTTTATTTAATAGGTGCGGCTACAGTGGGGTGGGGACGGATGGAGAAGGGTGCATGGCAGTATAACAACGCGGCGGGATTATGGAAATTCTCGGCCAGCCAAGCGTGGCGTGTTGGGTGCCGCTGAGCCCCCGCGGACGGGCGAGGCGTCACCGCCAGCCCCGCGATTGAAATGCAAATGGTGACGTGGGGGGCTGGCGGGTGCCGTGCCACTCAGAAATTGAAAAACGGGCTTTATCTATGCAAATGCATGCGGCGTAATTGAAGTTAATCAATCAACGCCGGGCGCCGGGCCGAAAAACCGGTGAGCATGATTGAATAAAGTAATTATCGCGCTGTGGAAAATGATGAAGTTGTCGACAGCGCGGACCTGATTAAAGGAGGGGTTGGAGGCGTGGGAGCCTTTATTTAACTAATCAAAAGACGGCGAGCCGTGGCGAGGCCTGACAAACGCGGGCCCGGGCGGAGATTTGTCTTGGTGCCGTGTCACAACGCGGCACCGCGGATTAGTAACACGTGGCCTATCAGATGCAGATAGGTGCCACCCGTTACCGTTTAAACAGCTGCAACCCAAACTGAATTGTCTCTCATTTGCCAAGTGACAAATGAAATTTTCAGGATTTTTTTTCAATACCAGTCCATCATTACTGCTAAAAAGTTTGACACTGTCTCTCCCTAGGTTAAATAAAGTATTTTTTTATCCTTATTAAATCTGTTTTTTTTTTATCAGTTCGCAGGATGTGTACCGCGTGTCACGTAGATGTAGAGATGGGTAAGTAAAAAGTCACACGCGTGCAGCAAGGCGCCAAATGGCTCGTAAATTGCTTGGCATAAAAACATGTCACGTGTTTGTATTCTAATTTGTTTTTTTTTTATACAAAACCAGACGTAAAACTTTTATATTTGATAAAGTTACAAAATCAATTGAAATTCCAAAAGGTATGGCTTGAAAGCATTTTTTTATTATTATTCTAAAAGATATACCGGAGTGATCAAATATATGTATGTACAACCAAAGGCATAGCGCTCTTTCACATTTATGCATTTTTTCAATAAATAGTTTGGGTGCAAACAAAACCAAAAAGTGCTTATCTCGCACCTTTCAAGTAATGGCTATTTGTTACTCCAAGGCTGAATATGACCACAATTACAATAAAGTGCTTGGAACGCACCTTTTGATTAATGCCCACTTACTTTATGCAAAATACGCTGAACAAGATGCAAAATGCTATCCAACGCACCTTTTTAAGCATCGGTCCTAATAAATTATACCCTTGTCTTAACTGCCGCACGCCTCCACTCCTCATGCTGTATTTTCCTGACACAACAGATAATAATGCAGGCGTCACAGTGCTATTAGGAGTCCGACTGAAATTAGCTTGGGATTAGGGTTGGCTTTTTGGCACAGTAATGTTAATTATAGGGTATGTTTGATTGTAGACATAAGATCTTCTCCCCTAGATATTTATATTTGAGCTCAGGACAAAGGTGTATAATTGTTTTACGGAGGGGTGCACACAATGATTTAGTAATATGTAGTTTACGTGTGTTTTTATCAGACAAAATATGTAGACTAAATGTGAATTTTACGAAAATGTGTTTGATATTTCCCATCCACATGCAGTAACTTGGAATCAAGGCGTCAACGCATATGTACAGCCATTTATGTCAATCCACTGCTGAATTAGAGTATCCCCAAGCTTGTGCAGGTCACTGGGGTTTATTTGCTCATCATTCATGACCGTGGTCAGTTGGTTGGTGAAAGCATATAAGTATGGTACAACAGTGGGGTTTGCTGCAATGTTTTGCACGCGCTCACCACGTAGACATGCATCCCGATGGCAACCTGTTTATGCATGAGTAGTCCACCCATCCAAAACTATCCAGGCTCAACTTAACTTGGCTTCCATGATCTGGTGAGATGAGGTGAGCATATTCTGGGTGATTTGCTGTGGGCAAGAAGACACATGACCCATCATTAAACTGGTAAACAATATTCCCCCCAAAAAGTGAAAACATCCAATGCATTTTCAATATTGCTGGCCGGTGGTGCACAAGCGCAAATCACCAACAACAAAAACAAAGACATTCGTCAATAGCACTGCCCAAACGATGACGTACAAGCGGCGACGTTTCGGGCAACGAACTTGCGTCGTGCCATTGCCCCAAAAACGTCGCAATTTATATAACTTTACTGTTTCGAGCAGTGTCATTGACGAAGGTGTTCAATATGCTAAGTAATGCATGTTCAGAGTAAGGAGCGTATTTGTAAATACAGTACTGTATTGCTTTTGGCGATAAAATGACAGTCTCCCAAGAGAAGAGCAGAGAGGGAACGCGCTGTCACGGTGACAAACCAGAACACTCGACAGACATCCGCAATCCCAAGCCTGCCCTATTGTTTGGTGTGTGTTGGCCTTCCAAAAGTTGTTATTTCTTCCTCTATACACATGTCGCCGGAGCTGCACGCTTACACTGTGAAATTATTTGAGTCGTAATTGTTAGCCACGGAACTCAATTTCACTGCTTGGGAACAGTTTACATTTATTTAGCAATTTTGGGCCGATTGCCTATTTTAGAGGGGATTTATCGTGGAAAAATAAACTTGGTTCTTACAATTGAAATAGAATATTACATAATATAATCACAAACTCATGCTTCTATTTACCAAACAAGGCTGTAGCTCTGGAAATGCAACAAATCAACCTCAGCCAATTCCCTTCCAAGATGTACAACCTCGTATACTTGTGTAACAACCAGACTTTATGCAATGCTTCCACAGTATGTGTTTTCATAATACTGTATGCGATTCGTGAGAACTGCTACAATGAGAGCTCATAACAATTCTGATTGCCAAAATGTCATTACAATTAGGACCAACCTGTGATTACAATTGATTAAAATACAATGTTTTAAAATAAAAAGATACATCCGAGATATCTTGCCTAGAGTATATTAATGAGATCCGTTGCCTTACGTAGAATTGGTCAAGTTGCCTCATAATATAAAAATTTAGTGACGGTACATGAAAGCAAAATTGCATTAAAAACTTGTAACCATGGCAACGTATAGAGGGGTACTGCACTCCAACAAATCAAGGTGCCTGCATTTGGCAACAACTTCAGATTACATTTAAATATGGAAAATTAAACCCCTTCATGGGCATGTCTAGTCAATTGTGTCAGTCCCCACTGCTTGATGAGGGCCTTGCCATCCTATGAGTCGTGGATGTAAAATAACCATACTTTACCACGTTTGTAAGTGCAGGTTGGTGAACGCGGGGAGCAGATATTGTATTCGGGTACTGCGATGGATTGATCGGTACTGCCCTATCACATACGGCAAATTATTTGTGCACTTCACAGATAATTCTAAAATCAAAGCACAATGCCCACTGCACATATGAAATAAAATACGGTCATTTACACATTAATTGGCACGAATTTGCAAACGAATCCACTGAAAAGATGAAAATATACAAAAAGTAGTAGCCCTTGAACATGAAGATAAAAAGGACACAGGAATAAAATGTGTGCAAACATTGAATCTGGAAGCAATCGGGAGATCATACATCGTTAAACAGAGAAAGGGCGACCACGTAACAATCGTTGCTCATGACGCTGGTCAAGCATTTTACTGAATAAAACTGGACTTTAGTTACCTAAAGCCTGTATACATGTATTCCTCGATTTACGAACATTCAGTTTTACGAATTTTCACGCAAACGCAATTGACAAACTATAGACACGTTTCGATTAACGAAATCGAATCTCCGCACGGATGAAATCTCACATGGCATGCGCCATGTCAAACAAGAAGCGTCCGGGAGGCTGCATCATCCATCCACGAGCAACACAGAATCCGTGCAGTGCAACAGTAACGCCTCCACATCGCCTTTCCAGTCATTTTGGCGAGTTCCCTGAAAAGTTGAATGTCTTTTTATTTTTATACATTTGTATATAATCGCAAAAATAGTTCATTATTATTTTGTATTGTGAATTTTTTTTTGCTTAGGAGTAGGGTTGGAACGACTGTCCGAAACACCTAATTTTGTATTAAATTAATGGGAAAAGTCATTCCGATTTACGAAAATTAGTTTACGCGTGTTTTTTTTTAAGAACGCATCCCTTTCGTAAATCGAGGGACACCTGTATTCATGTGCAGCCGTCGATACGCTCCTCATGAGCAGTATAGGAGTGCGCCACCTGGTGTCTGCATCCAGAAATCGATGCTCACACAAGGACCTCACCGGGGCGTCATCGCATTACCGAAGTATACGCAACAGCTCTGTCACGTGAGCCCATACAATTACTATCCTAGCCACCAATCACCGTGGGTCACTGAAACTCGCGCATTGAAAAAAAAAACCCATAATACCTCAAGACGCCCCACAAACCATCAACAGGGCCAAAATACATCAAGAACGTGAACAAATGTCCTCACCAACACCAACACTACCCACCCAAATGAAGCGTTTTTACAAGGAAGCTGGTAGGGAGTAAAGCGTGTAACAGACACCTCCAAAAGTCGGGCGTGACGTAAGTGACTAAAGCCCAGGTTTTCTTACGATGCTCGTCAATATGCTCCTCATGACGAATAAGACCGGTGCCAAAGCCAATATACTACTGGTGAGACAAAATCCAAACACAACCGATATTAATCTATTTGATTACTTCAAATAGATTAATCTCGATACCGCCGTGGGAGAGAATCACTATTCCAACACAGCCACCCTGACAACCCACCGTCAAGTTTGTAATATTTTTTGAATGTATGCGACAAGCCTTCACACTGCCACTCTACAGATTTCCTCCAAGGAAACGCCGGACATGCTTGCCCAAGACACTGCCGTGGCTCTGGTGAAAGAGGCTGCACTTGCTAATCCGACCATGGCCTCTGCTTCCTGGATACACTCTCGTACACATCAAGCAATGTGTGCTGCTTCGAAGCCGCATCTTTATCAATCCGCACAGAATAGAAATCAGATCCTACGTGCGCCATGCCTTAGTCAGCCAGAGGTAAAAGGAACGTGCCCTCATTCGATTCAAGAAATGCAACCTGGCTTCCACCGAATACCAGCAAGGATTCGGGCAAAAGGCCTGAAATCTCACGGACCCTTCTCACCGATGTAATGGCCACAATACTGCCTCGATGGTCAGCAGCTTCTCAGAACAAGTAGCCAGTAGTTCATGCGACGGCCTGCAGAGCATTCCAAACTGTGCTGGTTCTAAGGGGCAAACCCTGCCACAATTAACGGCTTTTGCTGCTTAATTCCCAAGCAAATCTTGCTATTATTCATAAAGGACCGATCACCATTCCTTTAAACTGTGGGAAGCCGATATGGTTGAGGCCCTCACTTTCAGGATGGCCAAAGAGAGGTCCCTCTGCCACTAAAAACACAGTCCACAATTTTGTTTTTAAATAAGATACATCAAATGTCTCTCAGCACATCATACAACAAAACCCTTCCTGGTACAGTTATAAAAGCACCAGAGGATATCCACCACTTCAGAATCAAACTTTGCACCTCTCATAGTGGCCCTAAATTATTGAAATCTAAACTCGCTCTTTCAACTGAATCTGAATTCACTGATATCAGACGAAGAGGCCAATACTCATCCTCGAAGAGAACCATGGGATCTGAGACCCAAGACGTCCTGCCTTAGTTTAGTGATGAGGATTGCTCGTGCCCCTTCCATAGTCAGTTTCTCCAGGACCTTGGAGATCAATGAAACTTGAAGGAACATGCACCACATGGGGAAATCAAGAAATTCATCACAAACACCCTGAAGTGGAAGAGCCAATAAACTGGTCTTTTCACGTTGTCCGTTTGATGAAAACCAGTGATTTAGTGACTATTTGAACTTGGAAACAATGTGGGCAAAGGTTTTTGGATGCAGGTCCACTCACCTGGGTTTACCTTCTCCCATCGATCAAATCTGCCATGCAACTATCCACACATACCATATGCCTTGCCGTGAATCGAACGTCGTGGCTCACCACCCACCAGAGTAACATGAAAGACTATTTCCAGAATAAGGCTCGGCGAGCCTTGCTGATTCACCACCACTACGGCCATATTGACATACTGGACAAAAACATTTCCCTACCATCACTGCGTGGCCAACCATTGTAAAACCAACATGATGGAGCTGTGCTCCAGCATATTGATACATGAGCTTTCCTCTGCTCGGAATCACTGGCCTTGAAGCACAACCTATTCACAATGGGCCTCCTAAACTGAAGAGACCTGCATCCATTTCTATCCACACCTATTCTCAGAAAAAGGTTAAGGGTTTCCTTTTGAAATGCGCATCCACGGCACCCACCACCGTCTCCCATGGCCACCTGATACATTGTCTAATGTATCAATGGAAAGGGGCCCCACTGGCAATCCAATACGTTTTCCAAATGTTTGTAAAAATAAGCTTTTTAAAAGTCAGAAATAAGTTACGAAAATAATTAAGGAAAAAAACTAGGGGTCATGATGCCCTTGTTAACGCAAAAAATAAATAAAGTAAAAACAGGCAGGTCACATCTTGAGAACAACGAGAGATGAACAAAGCTATGGAGCAGAAATCAAGATGAAGAAAAAGAAGCAGAGTACGACTTGAGATTATATTACATAATTTAGAGGCCACTGGTGAACAAGAATAGACCCAGAATTGGATTGGCTTTTAGCCTGTGAGCAATGGGGAGTTACTGGCTGATAACTGGTCGAACAGACCCCACTTTAGTCCCCTCATGTGCAAACACACCCAAGACACCATCTCTACCAAGACGGCCATGTGATGAGCTACCAGGTAGGCCTTCATTCGCCCACCACCTCTTGACAATAATAACTGCTTTGCCCAGTCTGTCATTCTACTTTGGTGTCCAAAATGCCTTCCCTTGCCAAAGTGTCTTCGACAGCACCCAGGTGCATAGTTCATCCAGGTGTTATCAGACAGGTGGCCCCATGAGCACACAGGCCGTTTTGATTCAGACTGGTGTAGAAGGGCGTAGGCCCAAAAATCGAAGCATTGCAGAAGGTAGTTTTTCTGATGTCACGTGATGGGCTGTTGTGTCTCAGGGAAGCCCCTGCATGTTGTACATAATTCTGGGTGCGTGCAACAGGTGACGTTTTAATCTACTCTTCATGAGAAGTGTGATGGCAGTTGTAATAAAATCTGAAATTGCCGACCTGCACTGTGTGAAGTTCATAATAATAATTGAATTTTGTAACACGCACAGTATTCGCTCACTCTCAAGGAATTACTCTAAGGCGCGAGAAACCATAGACAAGCAGGAAGGCAGCAACGTGGTTAACCGGCACCAACAATCGGCCAAGCTCTGGAGTCCTTGATATATGTTTTCAGCCGAGTGTGTATGTGTACAGAAACCAGTACACCGACAGAAACTCCAGATGAGGGGGAAACACTTCCATATAGATGAAACAGATGGAGACTAGCCCAATAAAATATAAGATCATTTTAACTAGCCTGACACTGAAATATCATTTTATTTAAATCATATTCTTTGGGTCTTTCGGTAAAGTCACGTAGATAGGTAACAAATAACACTTGTTTTCAGTTCAATAATCAGCTTAAGCATTTTTTAGCCAAAATAAGTTAGTGTCATAAGGAAATTTTGTCCCTAATTATACATGCAACAAATTATGCAACTACAAGACACAGCATGTAAATGCTTGTTTTATTTTAGTACAATAACAAAACCAACTGCATACAGTAGATAATTCGGCTGAAATACAGCGCAAAATTAGTTTCATGCAAAAAATCAGCGATGAATGTAGCAGTAGCCCAGGACCCTCTCACCCAGTGTATTTCCTCGAGCAATAGCTGGCACAGTGCTGCAGACACCATGCACTCGCGTCACTGTGTGTTTCACGCTCAATCAGGAGCAGGATTCTGCCAAGCCATCCAAATCCTTCGCTCCTTAAGCTGGAACCCACCTGTGCTGAAGCTGGATGTCAGGCACGTTTGCCACACCATAGTTCACGTCTTATCTCAACAGACTGCATTCACTTATATTACAAAGAGGGGATTCTCAGCCAAGTGAAGCAGAATGATACCTATGGCTAAAGCAAATACAAAACGAAGACTGACATGAGATCAGAACGGCTCTCTACGAGTGGTTTGCCTGCAATACAAATGGGTTGATCGTATTTCCATGCTCAACTGTTCTCACGTCGTGCACTGCAGACAAGAGATGTGAACATATATGGATGAAGGAAATGCACTCGGTGAATGTAATATAAGCAAAAATAAGCCTCAAAGCATTACAGCAGACAATCATGCATTCAGCACTCTGTCCCAATCAATCATAAATCAAGGTATGCAGTGCTTAGAAAAGTTATAAAATCATAAATGAAATACAATCAATGGAAATCTATTCATTTGTCCATGCTTTCTCTTGTGCGTTTTGTTGCTATGGCACGTGAAATGTATGAATGAGCAATTGAAATTGTATATAATCTGGCAACTCTATATCAATATATTATTATATTGAGATCAATAGATACCCAACCTTAAAATATCATAAAAACAAGAACATAAACTACTTTAAGCAAAATGAAATATTCCAAGCAAAGAGTTTAAGACTTTGTACCTTCATGCAAATAAACCTCAAATAGCCACAGCTTGAAACCATTAGATGAAAGTGAACCAATGTCCGCAAATAAAACTGCGCAGTGTAACCAATGATCTTATGATAACATACATGCATCACACACATGCACAAGATGATATTCTTATGGCACTGTCAACATATGAACAATTTTGGCACCACGTCTGGCGTTTGCCATGCAAACAATGAGCACTAAAGAAAGGCCCATTGCGGCAGATGCGACAATGCTACTAAATTGGTCACCAGAGCGAACGGGGACTGCAAAGAGGCACTGCATATGCTACTTGCATTGTAAAGTAAAGCTGCCTTATAGTTGGTATGTGCGCAATTTTGACAAAACTCTTGAGAGACTCAGAAGAAATTTGTGGTGATGACGCAGACTAGAGTCCACCTCCGCTCCGGGCCACGGGGATGGCTTCTCTCTGCGGCTTGTGCTGCTGTTCTGCTCCCGAGAAATTCTCTGCCAGCTTCATCAGAGTGGCCAACCTGCTCTCCGACACCGAGCCCATCTTGACCGCACTCATCAGCTGTGCAGTCGGGGCGGGGAGGGACACGGAGAGCTATTAAAGAGGTACAGGGCTACTAATGGCCATCAGTATTACTGAGCGTGTACGATATGTGCGATTTGTAGGTAATTACTGCACATAGATGGAGTTTAATTTAATTTTAAAAAATATTCACATTAGGGAGTTGTGAATGCAATGCTCATTTCATAACAAAATAATAATTAAAATGTTAAGTGGCTTTCTTGTATTTGATTTAGAAATACATCCCATTGTCATTTGACTTCATATTTTTGATGATGGAAATATTGCGATATATTGAATGACATTCATAAAACGCATAAGCACACGTGGTAATTTTTGTTAAATGCAAAAACAGATTTTTATTTTTTTAATTTTACATGTGAAAACCTGAATAGTATCCAGGTTTTCCTTGCATAAGAGAAATTGGTTTGCACTGGATTCCTTGCACGATGCATACAACGGGGTAAGGAACTATGATTTATTTTTTACTTTGACCTTTGGCCGATTGGTGGGTTAATAAGGGGCAATCGCTCACCTGAAGGAACTCATTCAGCTCCACTTGCCCATTCTTGTTCAGATCCACTTCGTTCAAAATCTCGTGCAGTGTGTTTTCATCAATCTGGTCACCGGCACTCTGAAGATGGCAATGAGAACACTTAAGCTCTCTCTCTACCCTGAGTGACAACTCTAACAAGCACTTCTGCAGACCTCTACATCTCAACACAAAACTCATTGGAGACTTTTGTTTTATGCAGATTCTGGATGTGTAAAAAAAGAATCACCAAAAAATATTGGCAAAATTGCTGCGATTATCATCGCAACAAAAGAAAAGGTAATCAAACACAGGCCAGTCGATTATAAAGTGTATAAAATTCCATCCCCAACACAGATAATTTAAGTAAATAATTGTACTTAAAAAAAGAATTCCCGTTACAAATGTCTTCAGCCATTGTTCAGATAAAGGATAAAGACACAAATGCAGTTCATGGAGTGAAATTCAACGCGAACAAGAATGTTACATTCACGGAAATATACACATCCAGACAGCGAGAGCAGCTCCCAAGAGCCACTGTGCAGTGAATGTGTGATGTGAAAGAGGGGAGAAAACTACTCTGTGATAGGAGAGAGAGAGAGAGAGATATTTCATTCAGCATGTTACACAATACACCATACAACTTCTGCTGCATATTAGAACACCGCACAACCTTTGGTTCACAACTCACTCGACTCACTTCTTTCTTCACACGTGCCGATCTTAACAACAACAACGCCCCATACATAATTATGGGAGACAATTATATTCACCTTAAACGCTTCTTCTCCATTTTTAAAGTGCTTGAAATGTTTCCTCCTATAACTGTGCAGGATCTTGAGATAATGTATTTCGACGTAATATATCTTACACATTGTGTGGCCATGTTGCTACGATGGGAATACACATGTAATAACCAAGCCTATGAAGCAAACTCTAATCTGCCTCTGATTATACGGGACAAAAGAATTGTGGAGATTAAAAAGGACAAATGAGCTGTCGATATTAAGGCAAAGACATTTGACAGAAATACACGGCCGTGTCTAAAATTTGGTTACTTGCAGAGCGTATAATTAAAGCTCAACACTAGAGAAATAATTTACACACCATTTCTATGATGTGGATGTTCACAATATTGGCCAAGAAAACGTTTTCAGGAGTGAAACTTAAGTTACCGTTCTCGTGTACCCGGTATAAACGTGTGACGCTGATGCATGCTCGTGGTTTAGAAGGAAATGCCACCACAATCGGACAAGGAATGTGGGACAACAGCACAGGGTCCACTTACTTCCAGAACTGCCTGCAAATCTACGGTGGTGATGAAGCCCTTATTTTCTTTGTCAAACTTTAAAAATCTTTTCTTGTATCTGAACGCATCACAAAGCAAATATGAAAATACAATTTGGTAAACGCAAGCAATGGCAGCAAAATAAAACAAATAACAAAACATGTAAAAAATAGCAGTGGTGGAAAATTATAAGCGTACAAATTAATGACGGGTTAAAAACGATAAACCGCATTACCGATCGATTTCGGCTGGGTTGAGGTTAATTTCGGAGGTGTCTGTAAGTTGCTCCCATCGTGCCTTGTAACCCATCTCAGTGTAGAGAAACGTCTTGGCAGTTTCAAGCTCCTCCTGAAATTCAAATGAAGGAAGAATAACAGCAGCATCAAAATCTGAATATATATTTATCCTCGAGAAATCCGATGAGCTATAAAGCTCTTTATCACAGATGTTCAGTAGGCAGGGAACAGAAAGTTACAGCAACAATATAAAAAAAACGATAGGAAAGGTAAGCAAGTACGTCGTCACATATCCGACCATCAATAATTATCTGCCCTGATCAATTAACCACCCACAACCGAGGGTGGTTTTGTGCAAGGTGTGACTGCCATTGTTCATAGATATTTATTACCAATCCGTCCTTTCCAAACACAGTCATGTGTCCCTCTTCTTGCATTATATATTCGCTCACTTCTAAAGCAAGTCAAGCTCCGTGCCCATGATCTCGACGCTTTATCCTTGTCCAGTAACCTACATGTACAGAATGGTGTAATACTGCCACTTTCGATAGGTGTTCACGTGACTTTTTCACATATTAGCATACATGTCAGTCCCCCCAGTGAGTCAGCTATGCAACGTTGTACTGTAATTAAGTTAGAACAGTGGCACGCTAATAGATGGATGCGCTAAGAGGCTGCGCGGATGCCCTCTGGGCTCGACCCCCCAACCCCCGGGGTCCCCCCGCCACCCCGCCGCCCCCACCCTCCCTCCCATCCCCTCCTCCACCTGCTTGCGCTTTTCGCTCCAGTTCAGCTCCTTGCCCATGATCTCGATGACGCGCGGCAGGGCCTCGTCCGCCGCCTGCACGTTGAGGAAGGCCAGGCGCGTGCGGCGCGCGATCACGTCCGTGGCCGTGCACGCGTACTCCTGGATGGCGAACTTCACCTGCCCGGGCGGCACATGGGGAAAACTCGCGTGAGCGTCCTCTCCGACTTCACACATTACAGAACGAGCACAAGAGCACCGCACGCCCACTCCCCCCTCCATGCTAACACTACACCAGGAATATGTTTATACTGGTTTGTGTCTTGCTCTGCGATGCGTTTTCAGGTTGTGCCGCGTGTTGTTTGGCATTATTGCCGATGTTTTGCTCCATGTGCTGGTGGGAGCTTGTTCAGGAACTGGTGGCTTTTCCTCGAGATCGAGCTGGGCCATGAAATGTCTGCGTCTTCTTATTTACTTGGCTTCCAATGGACAACACTTATAAGATTACTTGTCTTTACGGGGATTAAAAATTATCAACGTGCGTCCACATACCCAAACAAGCGTTGGGGCGGTTACTCATTGCCGTTGCTTGGCCAGTGGTGAAAATGCCACACTGATAAGGCAAGGAACGAGTCTGATACTATTCATTTCGCATCTCCGATTAGCACGGATGGCGAACGTGCGAAAGAAGTTCAACATACATGAATGTACCCAGAAAAGCCCCACCAAGTCTCGACAGACTTTTTTTTTTCAGGAGAGTCTTGGATTGGGATGCTAGGCGAATTCTGTTAATGATTTCTGGACTTTGTGTGGGGAGGAAATCCGAGAAAACCCCAACAACCAAGAGGGTGACACTCAACACTGCCACCTCTGAGTCACCACACACTCCCATGCCTACATCTGGTAAACCAAAGTGGTCACCCATCCAAATAGTAACCATGCGACAGTAGCGTCTGAGATCTATAGGACTACTACTTGTTCATTTCCCCCAAAATGGCAGTCATTTTATGACCCCAGACAAAATATCAACTGATTCAACTCTTATATGTGATTCAAATTCACAACCTTCCAATTGTAAGACGTGTACTTTACCACTGTGTCACATAGCCAGATAATGAAATTAAAATGTAGTCGACATTTAATGTTACATTTGCAACAATAGTAAGTCAATTGAATGGCTGGAAAGATAGCTAATTCACCCTTTGATACCTGTGTTTATATGTAACTTAATGATATGGAATGATACATTAAGAGACAGAAGGCCCATTGCCATTAGATTTTAATAAAAAAAGACTTGGAGACATTGAAATTCACTGTGGATAGAGCAAAATACACGTACAGACTTTTGTCAATCCACAGGCCTGTGCTGGTCGCAAGGGTTATATGGCCATACTTTCATTACGGTGGTCAGTGCTGTTTGGTGAAGGCAGGCAAGATAGCCATGAAAGCATAGAAGTACAGTAATGTTTATTTTTCTTCAATGCCCTCTACTACTCACCACAAAACCCCTATATGATAACCTGTTTGTGCATGGTGGTCACCCATCCATGCAATATCCAGGCTCAAACCTGCTTAGCTTTTGAGATTTTGCAAGATTGGGTGCGTTCTGGGTGATTTGGCCACAGGCGCGCATTTAAAAAAAACACTTCAAAGCCTTTACAGGCTGAAAACGAAACTGCATTTTTGTATTGAAAACCCAAAGTTCATATTTAATTAATTTGAGAGTAAAAAAAAACGAAATGCTTCCTAAAATGTTAAGCAGCCATTTGTGACCAAACATACATACGATCATGAACACATGAACTTGTACATACACAGGTGAGTGCCCTATGAGACCATGTCTCTCTTGCAAAGGAGAGACAAAGCACAATACCTCAGCCTCGATGTACGGGAACTCCGAGACGAGCCTCTTGCCGACGATGGGCCACCGCTTCCCGGTCACCTTTGCCATCTTGGCGATTTGAAAAGCTTTGTCCCCATAGCTGGAGGCCAGGTGCATTGCCACCTGCACACGAGCCAGAGGCAGGACGCGTCATCGTCCGGTCTCGGCCAACGCCGGGGTGCAAAAGGCGTTGTTGTTCGCACGGCGAGCTGACGTCCGTTAAAGATCCAATCCCGTCAATTACATTTTGATGGGTTTAAAAAAAAAAAAAAATTAAGACTCGGGGGGGGGGAAAAAAATCACGGCGCACGCTCCCCTCTGCATGGAGGTCGTTCGCACTCAGCGGACAAAGGCTGAACAGTGTTATTAATACTACTCTCCCCTCTTGAGTGTTCCCTTCCAAATCACATAGGCGGAGAGCAATCACAAGAGCCGGGCATGTCAGAGCTGGGCAACCCCGAGCGTATCCCGACTCAAGAGCCAAATGGCTCACAGGGCTATGCCAAATAAATGAAGCTGAAACTGTATCAATGTCAGGCGAGGAGAAGGGCAACCATGGGCGATAAACATAGCGGTGTGGGCAGAGGACGCCCGGGCGCACGAGTTTCCCCAGGAATGTACACGTATGCACCACGTGGCCGGGGTGGCGTGATTGGCAACTGATGCTAAGGCACCGCCAGTCGGATAACCATCGCGGTCAACTGGCTTCAGAGGCCGAGTTGAGAAGGGGCTTCGTGGCGACTGGTCTCATGCAGGGAGTCACAAGTCACATGCCTATAAATATACACACGTGACAGAGCACAGCTCGGGAGATGCTCTAACTCGACAGGGTATTTTTGGAGCGCGACATTATTTATAGAAGCTGTGTTTCATATTCACATATTATTGATGGTTGTTGTGCTAATTTTATCATTTACGAAACAGGGGAGGGAAATACTTGTATTGTCGCACACTGCTTATAATCCACTAGATTGTTCTCTCCGTGTGTTCAATCATCACTATCTTTATGTAGGCTGTACCTTTGGCGGCAGTGCAATTAAAACACAGCACTAATTGCGTGCGCCATGAAAACCATTACGAAATAAATGCAATTATAGCATCATAAATACAGTGCACCAGCGATGCAACCATAATCCATACTTAATGGCATTCTTTAAGGGGCTTTTGCATTTTATTTTTTGTTTGACAATGATTCATGCAATGATTTAATTCCACATAAACATATTTTAACATGCGAGTAGACGGATGGTTCTAGATGCTTTAAAACAAAACAGTGCACCACGTGTGTGCAAAAAAGCGACTTGAAATGAGCCCAAATCAGGTCCAACTCTACTGTACATGAACATATGCTAAAATTGCAAGTGATTAACATGTCTGACTGACAGATGCTGTGTTTAGCAGCGGAACCATTATTAGAAGCGCAAATTTGTTATGTCTGTCATCTATAAAATCTAAATCTGGTTAACAGTGCTGTAAAATATGAGCCCGTTTTAGAGCTGCAGAGCAAGGAAGCGATATGTTAAAACGTAAACAGAATTCATTAAATGTCTGCAAATTAAGTGTTATGCATTTAACCTTCTGGCGGAACATGAGGGCTTTTTGATGTATTCAACGGCAAATGTTTACTAGTGAAGACACAGCACATGCCATGGTGCTCCAACTTGGTTCACGTGTGTAATTATGACAGCACATGCGCTCAGCGGATATGGAATAGTCCCATTTTTGCAGAGAAAAAGGCAACAAAGAATATCAGCGACAGTCATTACAAAAAATCGTCGTTGTTTCGCTACAATGCCAATATCAACTCTGCAACGCATTCAGAGATTATATACGATCAATGCCACGTCTGTGATGCTCGCTTAAAACCGTGCCACGTAACACATAAGCAAATCCTTGCAGCAAGCCATCACCCTACCTCCCAGGTCATTACCACAATCAAGTCCATTAAAACTTGGCTTGTTGAACCGAAATCAAGCTTCGGTCCATGTCAACGCAAGCTCAACACAGCTTCTTTTGTGTCAGGAGCCAACTTGCGTTGATCTGCCAGGAACTTCAAAATCATTTCTCATCTCAAGATTTCTCAGCAGTGATAAAACAACGGTGCTTTCCTTTGAAGAGCACCACTAACGTCAGGGCTGACGCAGGCGACGGGCCGGAAACCTCCCCAACGAACACATTCAACACCCTGCCAAGAGCTGGCAAGGCTCTCGGTGACATCGTCCGAGCATTGTGAAGTTGTTAAAATTAGCCAACAACAAGTGCCGGCAAAGGCTCATTGTCAACAGATGATAATACGGAGTCACGTCGAAAAGTTTTACGGTGCCGAACGCAAGAGGTGACCCGCACATCTGAGCAAATATGTCCCCCCTCCTATTTCTATGCTGCACGCCGTTTGAGTTCAATATGACACATGCCACCGTCGCAGCAGCCTGCAGTAGGTAAACGACCCTCTTAAAGCTTCCACACCGTCTGGTCCCGTGACTCCGTACTTTCATCTTTATCTGAAGCTGAAGGACAACCTCTGAGGACATATCAGGTTATGAGAGAACGGAGCCTCAAAGAGATGTCCAGCAACAGAAAGACGAGCACCAGAAGGGATGGATTATACTGGCAAACCGAACCCAACCGGGCGGCACACGTGTGCATCCACAAGGGGGGAAATCCTTTTTTTAAAAACGAACATCTAGGGGAGGTGACCGGGTGGCCCAGGGGGGATGATGATGCATGTGTTAGAAAGTTGGGCCCGGCTATCGTGGGTTCAATTAAACCAGGTTACCAAGTGAGGCGAGTTCGCTGTCTCAGCGCAGTAGGTGATGCGTGTGCACAGAAGCATGGCAATTTAATTATTCACTTAATAAGCCTGATAAACGTAAGCGTAGTCGCTTGCATTAAAAAAAAAAAACCTCGCACAATGGACATTCGACCGATCACTCTTTGCACAGCATGTTCTCCTAAAACGCGTAAGTTGCGTTCCTGAAGAATACCGCGTTATGGAAAAAATCGAGTTATAATAAATAATATATAATATAGGGTAAAGAAAAGTCCGCGATAACACGCGACATGTCTATGCGGGCTGAACAAAGACTTGAGGAGCGTGTGTAGCAATCTAGAAGCATCCAGCAGCATCCCGCCTTGTGACGCTACGCCAAGGTAGTCGTACAAGCACTTATTCCCTACTCGCGCGACGTAGTTCCGTTCACTCAATAACGTAATATCAAATTCGCGTTACAAACAACACCACGCGTTATAGGGGACTGCACGTGTAAAGTTCGCTGGTGACAATATTACACACGCACAAAACAGAGAGCGTTCTATGCTCAAACAAGCAATGGAATGGACACTCCTCTCTGTTCACATACCGGAGGGACATTAGCATAGTCGGGGTGGGGGGAGTGGAAGGCAAAGTGTTCCAAAAGATGACCCGAGACTGACTTTGCACAAAGTGGCACTCATGTTAATAACCCCAGAGGGATAAGATCTGTTATGAATGCCCATGTAATGCGAGTTTTATTTTTCTGCAGGGGTAAATTCAATGTACATGTGTGCACCCTGTGCATTAACTCACACCTGGGATCGTCAAAGTGAAACATCATCAGTAGTAACAGCCGTGTTCTATCCACTGTTGGACGAGTGACTAACATTATAGTTGCCACTCCCCAGAGTTCCATGATGCCACAATCCATCTCACTGCCACACATTAATAGCAAATGTGCGTGATGAGAGGCTAATTCTTCCAATTAGTTTTATCTCCCTATTTTGAATAGGATAATGATGAGGAATTGTTCCAGACTGAGGTACTTCTTTTCTGTAGAAAATATGAAAAGGTGCACTAATTTTGATTCAACAGTTAGGCCTCATTCTTTCATGATGTAGTTAGGTGTTACGCATCTGATTCAGAAAGGTTCCGTTTATTGACATCGAATTATTTGACAACTGAAAACATCATTTGAATGACACCCCCACGGCACATGTGATGTGCTGTTTAATTGCTTACATTAGTTGCAGAATATGCTGAAGCAGCCTGTTAATATTCTGTCAGGAGGGAACAGACTGAGCCCTGCCGCATCATCTGCCACACACCCCCTTCCCCGCGCCCGCCCATCTCACCACCAAACATAGTCAAGAATAAGTGAGCTAACTTTAGACCATATCATGATGAGTTTGAGAAACACTGATCTAAACATTTTAAATTAGCTCGTGTGCAGGTGCTAGGCGGGTTATTACATCGCAGGGCCATGAGAGATGATGGCAGGCTTGGGGAGGGCCTTCATCCAGCAGTGGATTGACCATGGCTGATGATGATTACAAAATGTATATTCTTTGGGTCTTTCGGTAAAGTCGCGTAGATAGGTTCAAAGAAAATAGCAAAAAAATTACAACGTTTTGATTGCAACGCAAGTGGTCGTCATTGGGCTGATGATGACCACGAATATGAATTCCTGCAGTCACGAAAGCTTTAAGTCAAGAATTACAAAACGTCTTTTATAAACCCAAATTTGACAATTTTATTTCAAACAGGAAATGCTTTAAATAAATGTGGGTAATGATGCATTGTACATTTTAATTAAAAAACTGTGAGCAGCCTACACGTCCTCTGGACGTGTCCTTCTGTCCAGTCGGATGGATGGCCAGCCAGCCAGCAAAACTTGTCTATTATAGTATGAAGAATTATGATACAATTTAATATCCCGCACATATGCGTGGGATATATGACCGTGGTGGAGGGTCAGTAGGTGGGAGAGGTGTGATGTCAGCGCCACGCGCACATAAACCCAGCTTCATGCTGTGGGATGTGGGTGCACTTGACCGCCAGCCAGGAATCCGGCCAGTAACACGTTTTTTCTAAAATAGCATTTTGATAATCATGGACTTTTCAAAACATTCCGTGTAAGCGAGGGACAAGCTGGTTCCTGAAGATGAGCCCTGTTCCCCATATTTAGTGAATGTTTTCACACCGAGCAGGGGGAGCAGCAAAGCGGTGCGCGATCGTGACAGACGGTGCGCCGAGGTGGTGGCGGTGCGTGCCCCACCTCGCTCTCCAGCCCGTAGTCCTGCACGAGGCGGATGAAGAGGGTGGGGGTCCAGCCGTGCGCCCCCTCCAGCAGCAGCCCCACGGTGCGGCACGGCGACGTGGCCCGCAGGCCGTGCGCCGCGATCGCCGCGTTCAGAGTGTCCTCCGCCATCGAGCGGTACGTCGTCCACTTGCCACCTTCACCCGGGTGGACAGGGCTTGTGAGATACCACCTTTCCCAACGGTGCCACCCACCTCAGGGCAGCGACTGTAAACATCCGAAGCCTTATAGGTACAGTGAGGGGAAAAAAGTATTTGATCCCCTGCTGATTTTGTACGTTTGCCCACTGACAAAGAAATGATCAGTTTATGATTTTAATGGCAGGTTTATTTGAACAGTGAGAGACAGAATAACAACAACAAAAATCCAGAAAAACGCATGTCAAAAATGTTATAAATTGATTTGCATTTTAATGAGGGAAATAAGTATTTGACCCCCTCTCAATCAGAAAGATTTCTGGCTCCCAGGTGTCTTTTATACAAGTGACGAGCTAAGATTAGGAGCACACTCTTAAAGGGAGTGCCCCTAATCTCAGCTTGTTACCTGTATAAAAGACACCTGTCCACAGAAGCAATCAATCAATCAAATTCCAAACTCTCCACCATGGCCAAGACCAAAGAGCTCTCCAAGGATGTCAGGGACAAGATTGTAGACCTACACAAGGCTGGAATAGGCTACAAGACCATTGCCAAGCAGCTTGGTGAGAAGGTGACAACAGTTGGTGCGATTATTCGCAAATGGAAGAAACACAAAAGAACTGTCAATCTCCCTCGGCCTGGGGCTCCATGCAAGATCTCACCTCGTGGAGTTGCAATGATCATGAGAACGGTGAGGAATCAGCCCAGAACTACACGGGAGGATCTTGTCAATGATCTCAAGGCAGCTGGGACCAGTCACCAAGAAAACAATTGGTAACACACTACGCTGTGAAGGACTGAAATCCTGCAGCGCCCGCAAGGTCCCCCTGCTCAAGAAAGCACATATACATGCCCGTCTGAAGTTTGCCAATGAACATCTGAATGCTTCAGAGTACAACTGGGTGAAAGTGTTGTGGTCATATGAGACCAAAATGGAGCTCTTTGGCATCAACCCAACTCGCCGTGTTTGGAGGAGGAGGAATGCTGCCTATGACCGCAAGAACACCATCCCCACCGTCAAACATGGAGGTGGAAACATTATGCTTTGGGGGTGTATTTCTGCTAAGGGGACAGGACAACTTCACCGCATCAAAGGGACGATGGACGGGGCCATGTACCGTCAAATCTTGGGTGAAAACCTCCTTCCCTCAGCCAGGGCATTGAAAATGGGTCGTGGATGGGTATTCCAGCATGACAATGACCCAAAACACACGGCCAAGGCAACAAAGGAGTGGCTCAAGAAGAAGCACATTAAGGTCCTGGAGTGGCCTAGCCAGTCTCCAGACCTTAATCCCATAGAAAAGCTGTGGAGGGAGCTGAAGGTTCGAGTTGCCAAACGTCAGCCTCGAAACCTTAATGACTTGGAGAAGATCTGCATAGAGGAGTGGGACAAAATCCCTCCTGAGATGTGTGCAAACCTGGTGGCCAACTACAAGAAACGTCTGACCTCTGTGATTGCCAACAAGGGTTTTGCCACCAAGAACCAAGTCATGTTTTGCAGAGGGGTCAAATACTTATTTCCCTCATTTAAATGCAAATCAATTTATAACATTTTTGACATGCGTTTTTATGGATTTTTTGTTGTTATTCTGTCTCTCACTGTTCAAATAAACATACCATTAAAATTATAGACTGATCATTTCTTTGTCAGTGGGCAAACGTACAAAATCAGCAGGGGATCAAATACTTTTTTCCTTCACTGTAATACTCCTGTTTACATCGGTCGGGGATGAATTCCTGGAAGGTGCAACGGCGAATATCAAAACAACGTAAATCAAACGATTTACTGGGAAGCAGGTGGAGGCATATTTGCGAAAAAGGGGTAGACGTAAGTCGGGGTATTACTGTATGTAGAAGACTGACAAGAACCTGCATCAGAGGGAGTTCTGGAGAGCCATTCTAAAGGGTATTTGGCTGATTCTTTCACACTGGCCGGACACCTTGGAAGGTGTGGGTAACCACACTTTATTGCATCACATGCGACCGGCCGATCGACTGACTTATAATGTTTATAAATAAAAGCCCAATAGTCGTAATATTTTGTTCCAAATTGGCTGTTTTTTTCATGAATACATATTGGTGAGAACGGCAATTAAGTCAATGCAGGTGTTAGTTCCTTGTTTCTTCCAATGGACCCACTGTAAATACTGTATATGAGAATAATAGAATATGTAAAGGAATACTCAGAGAGGTACTATCATGAACCATGAGTAAAAAATGAATGAAAGTGGAATATTTAAACTCTGCCACATTGAAAAATGTTAACATGAAATTATAAAAGTAGGTCTCAGCCTTCTATATATATAAAAAAAAAATATCCAAACAAACTTTGACCACATAAAAATATCAAGAAGAAAGAGGGACTATCAACTGCTGCAGAATGTAAACGTAGTTGCAAACCACAGACCATTTGTTTGCAAAAAAAAAAAGAGCATTCAATGTTTGGTCTCACATTTTTGCGCTCACAGTATTAACTTTTGTTCCCTTCCAGACGCCACGTACGTTTTGCATGACGGCCGTTTGTTGGTTGAAATGACTGTGCGTTTAGCGCACATTTTGCCATTCAGCACCCAAAATGATGCCACGTGACGATCAGTGCGAGAACAAAGTTTGCCGAGGATGGGTTTGGGGAAACAGTGAGTGAGGTGTGAGTCGCTGGAAGGCCCCAGCTCTCTGTGCACTGCTGGGTTCATTAACTCCGCTTTATTCCCTAATCCGGGCAATCTGTTCCCTATGCCCCCCAGACTCTCGTCCCATCTGGCCGCGGCGCGAGCCAGTTTGCGTGCATTCCGGATGCATTAACTACTGCCCATCTGCGGTGCAAGCGATCCAAGCAGGGCCAAAACCCTCCTCGAGAACCAACAGGGTCAAATTCCAAAAAAACGGTAAATGAAGTTTTTTCGTGAACAACTTTGCACGAAAAACAGACCTGGATGGCCTGCCTGCCATGCCAGCCCCAACAGGTGGAGTGCGTTTAGTGCAGTTCCTACTCCTGCGGTGAACGCATGTTATCCCATCAATTCTGACATCGGTCATTTGTACAATCGAAGCTATTAAATCAAACCTATATTTAAATCTCAAAACAATGCGTCTCTACCACAGAATGTATAACGTTAATCGCGCAATTAAATAATCAGAATGATAATTAAATTAAATCTCTTCACGAGTTAGAATTAAGGAATCAGAGAAAAATGTGTCCAAATCATAGGTGCCTGTGTTAACTTTGAAGATTTAGAATAGCTAACAATCAACACTGCCAATGTCCTGTTGGATTCCCTGCCCCTAGCTACCGCTAGCTACCGCTAGGGGCAGTGGTAAACAACAACTTTGGCGCTACCACCAAAGGACACACTGCACAAGAATCCACTACAAAATTCAACATGCAGCATATGCTTTAGTGCGATTATACGGCGGATTGTTAACATAAATCCTGATGGACTTAAAAAGCCCAGTATAGCGTTCGTAGTTTGTATTTGCAACGGGTATATTTTTTTTTGCAAAATACAAGGAGACAAGATGACTGAAAGAGAAATGCTGAAAGCTACTCCGTGATATTTGTCAATATAATGCACTTAAAAAAATTATCAAAATACCCTCATGGAAAGTTGTAGCATCTGTGTTTATTCCACAGCTGTTTTGTTTGCAGACACTCACCGGCAATGGTGACCATGCCACTCTCGCTGATGTGCACTACGTGGTTGCGGGAGATGGACTGCGTGTCCTTTGAGTTAGGGTCTGTCACCAGAGGGCGAATCCCACTCCAGGCCGCTAAAACGTCTCCTCGGCGAACTGCAAGACAAGCGCCCGGACAAGCAAAATCACTGAAGTGCCCCTCACAAGACGGCTGGGGCCATTCTGAAGATCAATGGCAGTGACACCAGACACCACAAATGAGTGCTTCAACAATTTGGGTCAGAAGAACCGACTGATGGTCAGCATGCTCACCACTGATGCCATTCAAGCATGGAGGAGCCAATGAATCGAATCCTGTAATAACTGCATGCAGACGTTACCAAAGCACACAGCTCCTGTCGCACTGCGAAAACTACACCGCAAAAACGCAACCCACCATTCACAAATGTAAACCACTGTGTGCTAATGTTATAATCAAAAACCCATGTCTTAAAATCAAACCTGATAAAAAAGTGTATTCTTTTACTTAAAAAAGTGTATTCTTTTAATCCATAATTTCCAGTCCTCCAGTGCAAAATATAAGAAACGTGAATGGGTTCCCAATTGTTAAGGCAGAGTCCTGCTAGCAATCCACTCTCAAGGGTAACATTGGCCTACTCTTCCACGTTGGTCATACATCTTGGAATAAGAAGCATGACCCAATATTTCCAACAATACACATGACCTACCATTCGGTAATATTGGCCTACTCTTCCACGTTGGTCATACATCTTCGCATAAGAAGCATGACCCAATATTTCCAATAATACACATGACCTACCATTCGGCTCATTGTGGTGTTATGTTTGATGGACATAGTTGGGGGAAACGTGCCCATTGTTCTCAACTGCCGTACTGGCAGATCTGCGCCAGGAGATCGAATCGTATCGGTGACCTCTGGATCGCAGTGCGCGGACTCATTACACTCCACGGCAGCATCCTCTACGCAAAGCACACCAGCTCAACGCATCTCGCTTATCACACAGGACAAACGGCGTCACTTTGCCCCCCATCCCCACACCTTCCACGTCGGGGCTGAGGTAGCTCCGGACTTCGTTGAGGATGAACTGGATGTCCTCCTCGCGTGGGGAGGGCGTGTCCGTGATTTCAGTGGGCGTGTCGGTGGTTCCCGCCACCGTTGTCCTCTCCCACGGCAGGAAGAAGATGACCCGGCCATCGCTGGTGGCAGGGTCCAGCAGACCCATCTTATCTGGGCTACAGGGAAAACGTGGAGAAGTGTGCACTCGTCACCGGACGGACGTAACCAGGAGATGTTTTCACATCGTTTCACCTACGGTGTATATTTTCGTAGTTGCGCTGTACTATTATGTGCGCTGTTCCATTCAGTTCCAGAAGAAGCTTCCAGCACGTGGAGGGAAACGTCGGACATCGTGCCGAATATAACACGCGATACAACGCGGACAGACGTCAGAGCTACACTTTACCACTGAGAAAAGAAAATCGTTAATGGCTCTGCAGTGAAATTATTTGAGTTCCGTCCTTAAGAATTCAAACTTGACAGAAGCACAATGTGCGTGCATGTTATAACAAATTTATGAGAGCAATATTAATCACCTATGAATTGCATTAATTTCTAGAATCCTGCTCACATTTAGCAAATCAAGCGGATGCACGATGCTCCAATTGAACATTGCACTAATCATACGCATAAACATTTGATTTGCATGCAGCCATGCATTGATATTCCGGGTGTAATAATTCGGCAAGTAAAAGCATAACCGTGAACACCCAATGCGCTATAGAAGTGCCTCCACTTCGGCAGCACTGTATGGCCATGCAGCCACATTGTGCAAACACGGGTCCCCCTGAGATGGAATTTCAGGCTGTAACGTTAGCCCGAGCACTCTGTTGGAAACCAGCGACCTTCACAAGTCCGCTAAGAGTGCTGCAGACGTAACTGAATCGAGGGACAAAAGAAGGACAGGTATCGCCCCATTTTAAAATCGCACTATTTTCGGGTTATTGTTTTTTTTCGTTTACCTGTAATAGCCGGGCATTATTATGTGGACACCAGCACTTGGCTGACAAATTTTTGGGGTATCTTTGTTATCCATCTGGCGCAGTATGTCTGTGAAAGGACCTGTTGCATTGATAACGCACTTGGCGCGAACATCAAATTCCTTTCCTGCAAAAAAAAAACGTACAAAAACATTTACAAAAAATTATAATGCGACTACAGATAATTAAAAGATTATACCACGCAAATTTGTATTTGTATTATAACACTGCAAAAAGTAATCACTCGTTCAAAATGATGACACTGTATTTTCCGCACCCCACTTAATACTCGTTAAAATTATACACGAAACGAATTTGGAATTCAATGAGCAGTCTTGCCACAGCCCGTGGTGCACAGGGAATGACTCCAATTTCTGACACTATAGTTCCACCTGCGATTGCTGATCACCATGAACCTCTTGAATAACATTGAGTGTTTCGTCTGATATTCACAAAGGAAAGGCAAGAAGCGTGGACCACAACTAGGCATATTAATGATGCTTGCTTCATCAATTAAAGTCAATTCTTACTCTTACAAAACATGCATCGAATTTTGTTTATGAGATTTCATTTACGACTTCAGCCCATGATATGCAAATCATGTGTTACATTTAACACAATGGGATGCATAAGACTACACAATAAATAGAAACAAAAATCATAAACAATACAAATGAGAGGAAAAAAGAATAGCGGCTATTTAATAAATCACTGGGTAGGTTATTTAATAAATTAACATGCCGAATACATATGTAAGCATAAACATTTATATCTGTTAAGTGGCATGATTCTTGCAGAAATGAACCATGTGTCTTCTGCGGGTAGTGGGGTTATGATATGCCCCCTCTACAGGAATGACCCTACCTGAACCCACCGTAGGGCTCTGCAAGCCTTTCCAACCTGCCTGGCCTGCCCACTTTTGCAAATTCCTGCCAAAACTTTTCCTTGCATGCCCAAGTGAGGATTCCCACTAACCACAACTCCTCGTGTCCACAATTTAGGGGGGTTTTGGCTTCCACTAATGCTAATTGCAAGCATAGGTATTTCTCCCTTTCGTCCATGTGAGCAGAACACGAGTGTTACTGGACTGAGACAGGGAAGCCAGCACTGCACTCAATGCTCATTATCAGGCATTTAACGCATTGGAGCTCACGTCGAGTGCTAATATGGCTTGCTTCTGTGGGTGTATCTTTCTGCATCTTTTACGTTTCCTGGCATTAACAGCAAGCCAATCATCAGCACAAGTGGTGAGAAGAAAAAGGAGCCACACACGAAACAGACAAAAAAATCCACCGCATCACGTACAAGCAATGAGTATTATCGGATTACCAAGCAGTATCTTTTATATATTTGAATGTCAATGAAGAGGGCAAGAATTGATGTCATCCACGAGATGGTCGACACAAACATTTACACTTGCTTTCTCATACATTTAACAAAAAAATATCAAATGCAAAGCCACCTGTATAACCACCACCATGCTATCGTGCCACCTAATGTGTGGGCAGAGAAACAATGCAGGGCCCTTCTTATAAATACTTAGAGTAATTGAGGGTATGGGATAAAATTGCACGATGCACCTCAATAACAACCCAGACCATACGTCACAGGCCTGTAACGCAACACCTACGTGCTGCTACCCAGATAAAGGCTTCCCCGCGGCCCTAGCAGATTGGTTACCGTCGATAACAGTGCACGTTAATGCAATGCCTAAGTAATGAGTAGTGTGGCATACACTCATGGTCGGAGAGAGATGTGAGCTCCTGAGACCTGACGCTCTTCAATTTCTTAATATACCTCCATGCAAATTATACCTGCCAGGCCGTGTTCAGTTATTATTTATTGAGCCCGTCATAGAACACTGCACGTCTATGCCACCCTACTTTTACAGTGTTTAGTGTTTTTGTTAATGAAAGAATGTGATGACTACAATATTGTCCAGCTATATTTTTTTGGGATGACAGAATTACATTTGAACACATTCTCACATGCGCTTCAGTTGCCGAGTTTTGGAAAGAATATCCACTATGAATAACAGCATACCGAACATGATCAACATTGTTAATACTGAATATAAGCAGGGAAAGTGAAGTGTATCCAATTTATAATTCCAATAGCCATTTTGACTAAAACATGAATTTTATATTGTAACCTAAATGCGTACAAAATATGGGGTTAAGGTACGCCACTCACCACTGTAAATGCAAGTCTCCACTCACATGCATTAAATTTACCTTGATTTAAAATCCCAACGATTTGCAGCAATAGACTCCCATTTTTGTCGACGTTTACCATTGTGTAATGCATTTCCCCCTGAAACGTCCCCCTGGCATTCTACTTCCAGGACCCTATGTACACAACGTATCCCCCCAAGAGATTATTTAATTATCTTCGGGTTCATGCCAGATCGCCCTTGCTAATGAAGACTTGTCTCAATACACTTTCTCCGCTGGTTATCAAACAACAACACCCTTTGCTGTTCTCTTCCACTGACATCGCAACTCTGCTTGGGTCGACGACAATGACTGCTGTGCAGACGGTTCAACAACGCTGGCGACATCGTCAAGGAATCCCGAGCAGAAAACTTCAGGAATAGAATGTGTAGAACCTAAACCTGTACCGGAAAGGGAAGGAGCAGTCACAACGGTGGCTGCTAATGAGGAAGATGAAATTAGACAATCCCATTGGCGTGCAAACTCGGATGCCAACACATGACCCACAGCCCTCGTGCAAACTCGGATGCCAACACATGACCCACAGCCCTCTGAGCATGTCAGGACAACACCACCACAAATAGAGCAAACAAATCATTAAAGGACACAAGCCAACATCTTCCAATCCATATTCTTGGTTCTTTCGGTAAAGTCACGTAGAAGGGAAACAATTAAATAATAAAAATATAAAACAATAAAATTCTCACGACGTTTCGACTGCAACACAAGCAATCATCATCAGGTGTGTTGCAGTCAAAACGTCGTGAGAATTCTATTGTTTTATATTTGTATTATTTTATTGTTTCCCTTCTACGTGACTTTACCAAAAGAACCAAGAATATGAATCCCTGCAGTCACGAAAGCTTTAAATCCAAATCTTCCAATTCCATTTGGAACACGCCAGGTCACGACACACGCGCTAGACCTAGACACGGCGCACGATGTACGGCTTTGCTTCACGTTGGCACAAATGCACGTCCAGCCGACAGACAATGGTCACCGAAAAAGGCCATGAGCAGAGACAAATCAGAATAAATAATGGGAGTCGAAAGTGTAAATAAAGGTCTTTATAGAAGAAATATGCGAGAGCATTCACGCAAGTAATTGGCAAATATGAAAGCGTTAAATATGTTGGATTTCCATAATTTACTGCAAATCTGTCCTATACCACAGGACATTTAGCATATCATTATTTGAAAACGCGATGGTCTAATGTTATTTTCATGTTAATTGGGGTGAAATTTCATACATTGTGTGCTCATACACAAAAAAAGACAACTAACCCCCATATAGCATTAAAGACAGACGGGGAAAGTGGCTGTTCGTGATCCATCAAGGCCGACACGTCGCACAAGGGGTAGGTCTGGCAAGCACCACGCCTCTGTTTCCACACAGTGCTGATGTTTGAACATTGCACCAGGCACTTGTGTAAGATTGAGACGACCTAGGGGAGGCCCAGGACAGGTTCGAATTTCATACTCTCCACTGATTTTAGCCATGTCCTGAATTCAAAGTCATGTCATTGGGTTCGTAGCACTCGTGGCGCAGATTCACAACAGCACCCTTCACCACTCGCACGCCCGTAGGCGCAATTCTCGCAGGGAGAGCCGTACCAGTCAAGTTGTCGCGGCATCTTGCGCCACAGATTTTCTCTTTGCCCGTCTCTGGGTCTGCAATTTTGAGCAGTTGCATCACCTCCGTGTGATTGGCCACGGCCGCCCCATACCGTGCGGCCGTCAGAGCGATGGCGATGTTCATCCGTGCATCGTTGTGCTGCCCTACAGACACAGGAAAGGAAACAGACAGCGCAAAAAGATACCAGGTGGATGTTTGACCTTGCATTTTGTGGGGTTAGAGCCATGTTTAAATAATACTGCAAAAACATTAACTTCCTGCTTTACTTGATAGCACAGATATATTTTTGGAATCAAAGTAGCATAAAAAAACACACGGTAATAGTATACAATTGAAATAGATGGAAAGTTTCCCTTTAAGATTGGGCTTGTATGTGATGTTAGCAGAATTAATTATATGCATTTTATAGAGATGTCATTTCAATCAAATATCCTAGTTAGCTGCACTGATGACTGATTATCGTAAAGCAATCAATGACCACAATTGTGTCTTCACATTGCGTCTTTTCTTTGTTTGGCGGCATACTTTCAAAGCCAAGTACGGTAAAATGGCAGCAGTAGCAAAAACAAGAGGATGAGAAATTCACTATTGGACACAGCTGGTGATGAAAAGCAGCAAGTGTACCTGGGCTGCCAACAGCCCCTCAAGGTGCCCGTAATGTGCCAGGACAAGATGCTCGTTGAGACTGGCCAGCAGGGCGTACTAGTGCCATGGCAATTTGGGCACAGTCGTCTTGACGGGTGGAGGATCAGCACCCCCTCCCACGCAGGAGCAAGTGGTTTCTGCTCGCCGCACTTGCTGATCACCCCACTGTGAACCCCGGTATTGCAGAGGAAGAAATGTAACAGAAGCACAGATGCCATGTGGCCACAAGCAGTGATTGCCAACACTGAATTCTAAATAAATATGCGTGGAGAAGTTGAACTTACAAATTTTGAGGCTAATTAGTTGGGGGGTTTTTTTCTTCAAAAGTGAATGATTCTGTCTGATCTGGTGGAATATGACAGCGTTATTTATTTTCTGCCAGAATTTTTCTAAGAAAAAAAGCCATTTTGGCTAAAACCAGAGTCATTGGGCAATTTCACTCCAAATGGTGTTGAAAACGATTTCAGCCGACACACATATAAGGCGCAACATATTTTCTCTGCATTTTGAACGAACAAATATATTAAACTTGTATTTATCGCTTGGTGCGTAGTGAAATAAAATATGAAACATGTCGAAGGAAACACATTCATTTCAATAGTATAGAACAAACGTGGAAATAATTGAAATATACCAAATAATCCATGGGAAAATGACACAATGTAAAGCGACAGCCATCATTTAATAACAAAACATTTTTACACAAATTTTAGAAGAAAAAAGATCGCCAAAAAAAATTAGTAGTAGGGCAAGGAGAGTGGAATGTCAGGACATGGGACGGCTGGTGAAGGTAGGTTATCATCAGATAGAACTCGCAGCATGTGCAGCTGTCACGAGTCATCAGTAGCAGGGACACAAAACAGCAAGATCCAAGTGGGGGGGGGAGAGCCACTTGCCTGTCGGCTCCCATTCCCCCTCAAATGCCCACACTCGTTCTATGGAGAAAACCCCTCCGTGGCTCTTATAGACACACTTATCGGTGAATGTTTTGTGGAAATGGTGCGCATATGGTGAGATGTATGAAAACACCTTTGAAGGCTTACGCTGGTGCTAGTTATAAGCAAAAAAAGCACGTCATTTCAATACATTGAAGAGTAACCCTCCTTAGAAACATCAGACAAACTGAATTGTCGTGATTTTTGTTCATTTTTTTAAACAATAAACTCTTCCGTGTATCTTTTACCACCCATTCTACTGCCTATTAGTATGTGTGCATTGGCCACTGCCCTCTAATCTACCAAATCCCCCAAAGACAGCAGGAGACCGGCGGAAGAGTCGCCCGGGGTTACAGTAATCAGAAGTGATGTGCTGCACAAGCACGGGTTGGGGGGTGCGGTTTACTGGCTGGCTGTCCGGCCGGCTGGATGCCTGGATGGCTGGATGGATGGCTGGATGGATGGCTCAAGGCTCGGCTACGGCTCAATGCGCTGGATGCATTCCCATGCAACCACTGGCCCCTGGTCACCTTCACCTCCCCATAGCCGGCTCCACATCACACCGACAGCACGACCGAACTGAGGGTCACCCAGAACTCGCCCTCCCACAGCCTGGAGGCATCGTCTCATGTGCAATCGAGAGCCTTAAATTTCGCTGCAGGGATGTAGACCTGACTCTCAGGAGGCCGCCACAAAAGCGTTATCACGTAACTTACATTGCTGCACAACCGCCGTACGACCCAAGTAACTTAGTGTAAGAGAGCATTTCTATTTCGGAATCTGTGCAAGTGGTGGCACAGTGGTTGTCGCACTGTACCAAGAACCGGATAACCTGAGTTTGGTTCTTGGCCACTGTTAACACAATTGTTGATACATCTGAACCAGTCCTGGACGCCACCATCACACCAATCCGCACTCGACAGCGTTGTGAGGTATGTTTACACAATCCGTATGGTGTGGGGAGACCTTCATCCAGCAGTGTATTGACAAATGGCTGTAAATCATTACATTATAATGTATTTTAATGAAAAGCAGCATACCGATGTGGCTAAGGAAGGACTTTTAATCAGTTCATATCACCTGCTCTATGAATCAGAAACATGAACATTGATAAGGAAATTGAAGCAAGAGCTCAAGCGTCCAAAGAAGCATGGAGAGACACATACGCATCATAAAATTAAGTGGGCTTGGGTAGGACATGTCTCTCGAAGGGTTGATGGCCGATGGGCAACATTAACGGCCGAGTGGCAGTCAAAGGACGGAACACACCTGACTGTACATCCACCGCAAAGATGGGGAGTGATAAAATGAGCTCGTTTGCAGCTGCTAGGTGGATCACTAATAATTGCAGCATCATAAGAGATGGTGATGGCTGAGGGATGCATTCATCCAACAGTGGATTGCTAATAGCTGATGATGATGGTGAGCATTGTGCCAGAATATTCGCACAACAGTTGAAAGATATCCCCGATTCATTACCACTGATTTCAAGCACACATACATACATGAACAAATGCAGCTTGATCTGTGCTACATTCCAAGCAAGAATCAAGGCAAACCCATGGCGAAGGCGCAGACCTGCAGTAATAGATTAATTGCGGACAAGTTGCAGGCACACACACACGCACAAAGGGACAAACGTGCCCAACAACAAATTGGAAGGGTTTGGCAGCAGTCTTGCGGCACCATGGCAATTTAAAACAAACTTTCAAATGGAATCTGCGAATGCACGATTGTGTGTTTCACAGACAGCCACTGAGAGAGCTTGTTGTTTAACAAAAAAATATATACACAGATATTTGGGTGCTCATTGTACTCAAGTTATCTCCAAGAATGTATAAAAATAAAAAGATGTTCTGTTATTTAAAAAGTAATATGTAAACAACTGTTGTGTACAGTCCACTCTTATTTAGACTTATAGGATAGTCCATATTCGAGCATAATACAATGATGATTTGGTTCACAGCTCTTTGTCAATCCACTGCTGCATGAAGGTTTTCTCCAGCATGTGTTGGTCGTGGCAAGTGTTTGTCCAGACTTCATCAGGGTGGTGAAAGGAAACTAGCACCGTTCCTAGACATAATTGGACACTAATTTTAGCCATGGCCGGGAATCAAACTTAAGTTACCAGATTCATGGCACAGCGTGCTCTTCACTTGGCGAATGCTCCACCCCCTGCCAGAATTAGCCTTCGACCAACTTGCACACTCCTTGCCAATGGAGAATATTAACTTAACTCGTTCGGAGCTGGACTAACACCTGAATTCCCTCACAATGGAATTTGTTGAGATTCACTCAAGTTGTGGGGTACCTCACTCCCAAATCCTCTGCACCAACAATGCAAATGCGGATATAGCCTTACACATTAAATGCATGCAAAACTACACGAGACTTTCTCAATACATTTTCAGAACATTTATGCAAGTTTTACAATAGATTTTAATGCATATAAATGCAAAGAAAAAAATAAACCAAACCCTTGCCTATTGCGCGGGTTACGTTCTTGAAAGTAGCCGTAATCGGAAAATCCGTGAAACGCAAACTCAAAGGCAAACAGGCAACTAGGGTTTGGTTCATGGTTCGTAATACGACAACCCCCACCTTTTGTATTACCCTACATTAACTTAAAGAAGAAACTGGAAGTATGATTCATGTAAAATATTATGAATGTTCTAAAGTGTTAAATATAACTTCTACAATAAATGTAAAGAGTGGGAAAAATATTATGTAGGAAGAAATATTGCGGGCTGCTAAACCTCACTGCCTCCTCACTGGACACCGGGAACAACACGTGACCTGGGCGTGTGGATTCCTCAACAGCAGCATCATCGTGAGCAGTGTGCAGTTATAGTACCTGTACAGTACTTATTTATGATGCGTACTATACAGGAATCTCGCGCTCAACCGCAAATGGTCGAGCCACTTGGGCAAGATCGGCGAATTGCACTGCAAAAGATTTGGTGCAATTGGTCAAATCCGCGATGGGAATACCCATGATGGGCGAGGTTTTGGTGTATATGCAATATACATTAGGCATATAAAGTGTTGCCACCCTGGTGATTCAGGGTTTATATTCTCTTCAATATGTTTGTTGTGCTATTTCAATTCGGCATGTTATTCTGATTGGTGTGTGTAACCCCTGCAAATATATTTTGTACATTTTATTAAAAACTATATTAAATCACTTTCCATTATAAAAACAAAACTCAACAACCTTGCAATAAAATATAATTCTGATCTCCAAAGTAATCAGAGTGAAATTTACGCTGATTATGAACATCACATAAATATACATTTATGCAAAATCCGATTATAAAATATATAATCAGTGTGACGGGAAAACAGAAAGGGATTGCAATAAATCAAAAGAATAGTCAACCGGATAATGGCAAATAGGGGGGGGGGGAGTGGAGTAAGTGAAGGGCGAATGATGAGAGAAACCGAGCAATGGCACCGGCGCACGTGCAGACACCGACGGCACCACATTTGGTCAATGACTCGCCAGTGTGCTCGGAAGCGCTCTCGCTCAGTGGGCATCCTGCTAAATCACAGCATGGAGCCTGTAGGACAGCCATTGGCAGTGGAAGAGCAGGGGGAGAAATGCCAACAATGATGTGGGGGGAGAACAACCATACAGGAAGGGAAAGAAAGAAAACCCCGTATGGTATGTACATATTGGAGATGGCACGAGCCTCATTATTCCTAGAATGTGTTTACGATTCCAATCATAGAATCAAATACGATTCCCTAACGGTATCATGGGATCAATTCCCCAACGGTATCATGGGATCACCGGAATCATAGAGTCGAGGAGGAGCCAAGACGTGGAGCCCAATGTGGTGTTCAGGTAAGATTGAAGAGCCTGTGGGAGCCTTGCCAGGTCTCATGGAATTGCCATTGAAACATAAAATGGTTGTTGCCTATGCAGTTTGTTCTATGGCGACTATGGTCTACACTGGCCAGCTAATATGATGGTCGATTCCAGCCGGCCAGTACCGACGCCAGAATCGCCACTGGAACATACGGCTTGTCCTTAGCTATGCTAAGCATGGCCGAAGCTTAGCTAAGCCAGATTCGGAACAAAATCACAAAAGAATCCTATTCTACTTTTCAACGCTTCCATCACAGAATCCCTGTTTGAATCACACACATAGGAGAATCACAATTCCTGAATGGTGGAATCACAGGTATCGAGCAAGATTAATGTATTTTCATCCACTTCATATTTGTATCATAGGATTCGGATACGATTCTGGATGTAATCACCCAGTTCTGATAAACATTCGCTGCATACGTGTCTCTATGTATAGGTTTAAGGCCGAGATGATGTGACTGTACGTAGGGCGGCTGTCTCAGTGGAAGCGAGGAGGAACGGCGGTCCCCTCGTGCGAGGGGCCGGCCGCACCAGCAAGCCTCCACGGGGAGCACAGTAATGGGGACGTGCCAGCGAGCTAACTACCGGTGTCAGTTCCCTCATTAGGCGCGTCCCTCACGCGTCAACCCCAATCAATTTTACCGACACAAACTGTGCGCCCTTGCTCCCAAACTTGAAAACCACGCTCCGGGGATATAGGACCCTCCGACTCAGTTTGGATAATTGGCTCTTGCTCTCGTATTGACATTTTTTGTTATTTTTAGAGGCAACACTGATAAATCTTTTATAGGTAGGCAAAGGTACGCTGCTACCTTCAGAAGGCCAGAATTTGCATGAAATTGAGCTGGATCGTTTTTAAACGTGATCAGAAAACTGTTTCATTCTTGTAAATTTCCAACGCAGACCTCAAAATGAAATCCTTAGCAACATGCATTTACTCAGTAGGTGAATGTATGGCCATGCATTGACACATGGTAAGACCACTTATAAATATATATATAAATAAACACTGTTTACAAATTGTCAACATAGTTTTAATATCATGCACATGATCCCTGCAATCACTTGCTTGCAAATTCCGGTTGATAACAGATTGTGGAAAAATATAATGTGAATGTGGCAATGACTTAATTTCAAGAAACAACTGCAAATTAACTTAATATATACACCATCTTTGTTTCTTTTAATATTGATATATTATGAACAATAAAATATACACTTTGTAGCCCCAATAAAAAAAAAAGCTTCATAAGCCTCGACCTTAACCTTTTCTCAGGCCTCCAATTAACATTCATTAACAAGAAAACTAGCAACATAAAAAAAACTTCCCTCGACAAAAGAGCGGGGGCTTGGGGGGGGGAAAGAGAAAAAGGGGGAAAAAAATAGCACACAACAGAAACACAGGGACCACTGGGGACTGATCGCTCTATGGGCACACCCCTCCACTCTCGCTGCCCTGCCTTTCGCCAGCCACTGGGGAGAAGCGCAGCGGACCACTGTCGCAAGTGATCTGTCCCTAGCCCAGCAGGCTTCTGTTAAGTGGGGTGGGCTTGGCAGGCTGCCCAGTGCGGAAAGAATAACAGAATGGATCGGCGGTGGTCGTTTGGTCACGTTGTGCGGGGCCAGCGGTAGGGAATGTGCGGTCAGGTTTGGGTGCCTAGCGATTGGAGAGAGGTGGCGTCCGTAATGATTACCATTCGACAGTCTTGGTGCCACTTTGCTCGAGAAAAACGTATGTGCACATGCAAGTCACAGAGCAGAACCAAATGCAATGCTCATGCCCTTCCTTTAATTTGCATTCATCTGGAATCATATTTTTCCGATACAATGTTGAGAAATGTGTCTTCGGTGTCACTGTGAATACCTTTGGTGTGAGTGCATCTCTTTTCTTGACTCTTGCGAATTGTATTTTAATACTTAATGCAATCTCTGTGTAGCTGTTCCATCTTTATAAATAGTTTTGATTAGTTACATAGATTTGCTTTTATTAAGGTCTTGGTTTGTGAAAGCTGGAATGACTCCAGCAGCTTCCACTAAATCAAATGCCTTTTTAGAGAATAAAAAATCCAGACAGTGCTATTTGATATGCATGTCTTTTCTACCACCGGATTGATCATATGTGGTCAACGGTAGATTCATTAGTTTTTAGAGCACTTACGTTTTGTAACATTTCATTCTCGCATGTGTCACTGTCACTCTCACCATTTCCATACAACGAATTTTGTGCCAAGTGCCACGAAGAGTGGAGGAGCAGCGGAGGCGGCTTGGTCCTGCACTCCTAGAGAAACTCACTCTCCCTCTGCACTTTTATGAACTTCCACATTGACTCCACCTCAAGGACCTCGAATGTTCTCCTGAGCCTCGAAGTTGCCGGGAAGCTGGACTTCAAAACCTCCATTGTTTTCTGCTTAAATTTGTATGTTGAACTTCTTTCGCATCATACGCAGCCAACCATGCTAATCGGAGGTGCGGATTTCACCCACGCAGGAGACGTATACTGAAGCCCTGATACACACCTCTGCATGAGCATTCGTATTGCTAGCTTACCCTTTTAAGGCCGTCTAAATGTTTAAAAAACACACATGCGACGTACCAATCAACTGTCATTTATATTGCTGGGTGCACACAAGAGGTGGGGGAATATAAGAAACTTGGAGCAGGAGATCGGACCATCGACCTCAGGATTACAAGTCCAGTGTGCGCATCATTACATGCCACAGCAGCATCATGAAACTTATGTATATACTCTTTTCCGTTATTAACACCTTACTTATATTTTTATGTATGCCAACAGATAGGGTGTGATATGGAGAGCGGCCTTCTCAGTATACACATCACAAAGCGTTTGTCATTAAATGAGGCTGCAAGCGCCGCGCTTGTTCAAAATGCGATCAAAGATAACTAAACGATCAGTAACAGGTCAATATGTGGCAGTCCCATCATTTTATTGTGTTTCCTTCCTCGTGTCTGCCAAATTGAAAGAGAACAGCATTTTTGTTTCAAATCTTTTTTTCCTCTTCTTGAGAATGTGTCTCTGGCAACTTGCCTGGGTGGCCGTGCTGAACTAATGAGTCATAACGAGGGGCCCCAGGGTCATTTCCAAGGGTTGCACCCTATGGAATTTTCCAGGTCATGAATTGCCGACATAACGCTTGGGAGACAACAACAGTCACTGGCAAACAAACTGGATGCTTTGAACAACATCAAATGTGATAGTTCCTCACACGAGATGCAACGGAATGGGGAGAAACAAAGCAGGATGTCCTGCAATTCAAGCCACTGGCATTACCAAGTCTCATCCAAAATACCTGTTTATGTGTGAACGTGCATTAATACCGAGTTTATTATTATTCTTGTTCTAAAAATCCATGTTTTCATAAACAATAACATCAGACGACAAGGGCCTTGTTTTCAAGTGCTTCTATACCATTTAGAGACCAGAACTAGCCAGGTGCTTACACTTGTTCAGACACTTTAAAATACAGGCACAATTGAACTCTTTTGCTGACCACATCTACGCATTGCGTACACAGAGGTAACATTTCATGTAAATAATGTCATTCTTACTACGACCTAATTTAATTCACTGTAAGTATAGCACCAGACTATCAGCACCATTAACCCATTTCAGAAAGAGCATTTTCCAATAGATGCTCGGGTAAGGCTTATTATTGATAATTGTTTAGAATTCCTAAAGCTCGTCCACCTCTGTACCCTACCTCCTGCTACACACTGGGCAACACACACACGCTCACAATTCGGAGGCCGTCACCCCCACCCCAGCACCCTCCTCCCAGACGCTGGCGCTTACCGTCGTAGTAGACGATGGCACCAACAAGCTTGTCTCGCTTAAGCATGGGGAAGAACTCCAGAGCCCGGCTCTTGCTGATCAGGTAGCTGCTCCGAAGGCACTGGCTGCCAGCAACCAAGTCGTACATCTTAATCCCAAACCAGTAATAGGGCAGCTGCCACCATCTGCCAGAAAAAAGAGGCAAGCAGACGAAGGCAAACAAGCCATGTGAGCGGGCGAGTGGCACGGTATGATTGACGTAGACTTATCAAATGTTGCTACTCCACCGAGCGATATGAAAGAATATGAAGAAATAAACTTTAGCCACCCAATGTGAAAGCACAAACACGTTGTCGTATAAGGCAAAGAAAGCACAATAAGGTATTGTCCTGCAACATTTGTGAGTGGCATTCACAACTGAACCGTAGACCCCATGTAAACTGGATTCAGTGGCTGATGTAATGAACACAAGGAAATGCACAACTCAATGCATTTGGAGAAATTGGAAACAGCTTCTTTGAAAAGATTATACACATTTACGACGTAGGATTTCAAGGTTGCGCTGTAGAGCACCATGATCATGTGTCTTTGGGTTGTACCACGTGTTGTTTGGAATTAGGTCCAATGTTTCACTCTGCATGCTGGAAGCTTCTTCAGCAGGTGAATGAATGTCGATTCGCTTCCTCAATAAGCTCCCAGCACACGGAGCAAGACGTCAGACAATGTGCCAAAGAATAAAAGGTTGCAAGGAGTGTAGAATTAGCCGGATCAATTGTCACCATAACTGTCGCGCCAGAGTTAGCATTCATCGCAGGATCAGTTTCCATTGGTTGTATTTAGCTCCGCCCCACTGCCCAATAGCTCCGCCCCACTGCCCGATAGCTCCGCCTCACTGCCCGATAGCTCCGCCCCACTGCCCGATTGCTCCGCCCCACTGGGCAGTCCTACCCAGGGATATGCCCAGCACCGACAGGGTTAGCAAAATGCAAAGATGAGACTATTTATGACATGTTGCAGTCCCGTGCGTCTATGAATAAATTCCAACCGGCCCAGCTGAACTCTATTTCTGGATCCTCTTTACAGCATTGTGCAAGCTAGATCGTTTGAAATAAAGGGGACAGAACTCAACTCACACTCCAAGACCTCCGGGTGAAAGGTGGTTTAAAATTGTAAATTATTATCACAACGCAGCGCATTACACATCACTGGGCATTTCTGGCCAGTAGAGTATTAGCAGACAAGCACGACGACACAACCCGAAGCCTCATTAGAGCTATGACACCTACATTGGCGGCACACACTCAACTAAACTGATTTACCATTAACTTAACATTGTGCTCAACAGTGAGTGAATGCCACGAAAATATTTCTACCATTCTAATTACACGGTGGCAGTGAGAAACCAGGCACCAGCCTCTACTGACATATTGCTACACGCACGTTGCATTCGGAGCAACTGAGCCCAAGTCATCTCCACGGCAATTTAAGTTGACCGTGCTCCATTTATAGAGTTTAACCCACAGAAAACTGGACGTGACTGATATATTTTTTTTAAACATGACACATCTTGAGTCTTTATGGCATTGCAAGATTTGTTTTCTCTCTCTACAGCTTTTAAATCATTTAATTTAACGAAGAAACTAGATAATGCTGAAATATAGAGGGGCGTGGGGGGGTTGGCAAATTATATATTGACACATTACAATCACGTGTCCCATGTAATGCTGTGGATTTGCAGCAGAGGCGGTTTATTAATAAACTGGCAATTTGAAAAAGCCGCATATAGAGGGCAGCAGGGTGTTGGACTAGAAAAGTTCCCTTATGATAGAGGTGTCACATCAATTGATTGATTCATATCTATTATTATTCTCACCACACATGCATTGAACTGTGTGCATACACACCTACGTATTTTGATTCTTAAAATGTTGTATGCAATTGGTTTTATATCCCTCTTAAAATGTTGTATGCAATTGGTTTTATATCCCTCTCTCCAGCCACTAAAGGCCGCTATATTCACCAGAATGCTAAAAAAATCGGTTCTGAATCCAATTGTGCCAATTTACTGAATCGCTAAAAGGGCCATTTTGTTACTGAATTCGCATCTTTTTTCCTTTGTAAAATTTAGGCTAATCCATTACTCCTCGGCAGCTGATTGAATATTGTGAAGCGATGACTCTATCGTATTCTACAAAAGAGAATGTTAAAATATATTTTCAGTGTATTGACATTAGTGAGAAACATGTCGAGGCTTTGATATAAAGTGTAGTTTTCCCCTACAAATCCTCCCTGTTGTTTTGGTATCTATAAATAGATAACCCTGCATCATGGTAATTTTTTCACGTGTAGGTGCAAATCTTTGAATATCTTCTGCAGAGCAACAAATTCAATCTCTCATCTGTATTACTTTATATTTACAAAACCGAATTGCTTTTGGAAAAGTGTGTCTCCTTGTCCGATTCCCCTTCTGAAAAATATTTTATTATTATTTTTTCTCGCAATCTCAATGGAGCTCTACCAATTTTCATAACTGTTTTTTATTACCTCGAACTTGTTATTTATTTATGCCTTTGTAACACCTTGGATGGTTGCATCAATTTCCACGACATCAAATGCCTTTTCATAGTCAACAACGATGATGCATAATGCTATTTGATATTTAATAGTCTCCATTTACTCACTCAGTAATGTACTTAATAAAATATTAGGCCATATTGTAATCAACTCTAAAATATTTCTTCTCATCTCATTGTATATACCTTAATTTCAAAAACTACACAAGATACTGACAAGACTCTTGGAAAACCAAAAAACTATCATTTGCCATTTCGTATTTGTATTACGAAACCATTTTAGTGCTTACCCCTCATGTAAAACAATTGTAAAATGAAACAAAATATAATGCACATGGTAAAATGAACACACTAAAAAACCCACCATCATTATATTCATTATGCTGGCTAACACAGCATGAAGTTCCCTCCCGCGAATGCATTTGCACGATCGCTGCATAGAAAGTGCACCTGAAGTAAAGCTCTCGCCAGCTGTGGTGTCAAAGAATGGGGTCGATCTCAGCTGCACATTCTATAAAACAAAAATGCTTATCCTCTCATGCAGGAGGTTTCTATTAAAAGAGTTAGGCATCCATGCATGCGGCTAGGACACTGCCCTTGATAGTTGATTAATGTGGCTCAGTATTCATCATGATCTATCCACTACTGGATAAAGGTCTTCCTAAGTCATCATCAAATGTTCCAAGGTCTTGCAAAGCAAAAACCCATCTACTAGCTTTTGCAAAGAAGCTGGATTTCATCACTCCATCTCCATGGTGGACATTGCTGGAGTCCATTTAAATGGTCGTTATAATTACCATGTCATTATCAAATTTGAAATATTTAATGTTTTTTACAAGAATGTGTATGCTCTAATACAATATTTAGAAAACATCTTCGGTGCCACTGTGAATAACTTTAGGAGATTATGGCACCTTGTCTGACTAGTTATTTTGGTAACATTCATGTCACCTTAATGTGGATGTTTAATTTTGATGGTTTTCATGATCTCTAAATCTTTATTATTTAGACAGTTTGTGAGAGCAGGGATGACTGGGTAATTTCTACCAGGTCAAATTATTATTTTTAATAGTCTACAAAGGCCAGGTACACTGTTAATTAAAATTTGTTCGTGTTAGGCACATCAATTGAATTTCCATTTGCGCTCTACGTACTGCATTCCGCTTATACACTTTGAGAAATATTCAAGAACATGACACATTTGGCCAAATCACCAATGCAACAAGCTAGTTAAAAGCACAGTTGTCCTGTGGATGGAGAAGGATCTCTCACCATCGTAATGTGGAATTCACACCATCGGCACAGGATGGTCACGGAGATGAGCATAGTCCAACTGTTCGTTTGAAAATGGATATATTTTGACTTCTCAGTAATAATTGCAGTAACATTAACACAAGTAATACATTCAGGAAAACATGAACGACTATTAAGGCTAATTTGAGCAGCGCCCTGTATGAGTTGAAGAGTGAATATGATTTAACCCTAAAGCTATGATGTGTTTGGGCACATATCAACCTCCATACATTATCCCACATCACAAAGACTTACACTGGTTACCAATAAAATACAGAATACACTTGAAAATTATCATTTTAACATACAAAGCAACACACAACCAAGCTCCACCTTACACCAGAAACGTCATACAGATCAAGCAAAAACAACGGATCACTTCGCTCCGTAACCCAAACACTTCTCCAAACGGACAAAACCAATCGGAAAACCACGGGGACAGATCTCTCTCATTTACAGCACCACACCTTTGGAACAACCTCCCCGAATCCATTTGCACAGTCGACTCCATCGTCACATTCACAGTCATAACCCAACAACGCATCTCTTTGCACTTGCATGATGGCCACAACTTGATGTTATTTTTTTTTATTTTAAACAACTATAGATGGTATTGATTTGAAGCTTTCATGACTGCAGGAATCCATACTCTTTGGTTCTTTCGGTAAAGTCACGTGGGTGGAAAAATAAAATAAAACTAAAAATAATATATCACGACGTTTCGGTCGCAACACAAGCGGTCGTCCCCCAGGTGGAAAAAATAATCCAGCAGTGGAACTGCTGAACCAGCGAGAGAGCTGTTTCTTTCCAGCTCAGACCCCGCTTGCTTGCCCATCGCCACATATATAACCTTGTTGTAACAGCTCTCTAGCTGGTTCAGCAGTTCAACTGCTGGATTATTTTTTCTGCCCGAGGACGACCGCTGTGTTGCGATCGAAACGTTGTGATATATTATTTTTTGTTTTATTTTATTTTTCTACCCACGTGACTTTACCGAAAGAACCAAAGAGTATAGATAGTATATTTTGAATATAATTGTTTATGTGTATGAGTACAGTATTAATGTGATGGCACTTTAAGTGGAAGATGTTTTGCCAGAAAGGTGCCACGTGTTTAAGCAAAAATAAAATTGGCTTGACTATCACGGGGGTTAACCTCACTTGTAGACAGGCAGCATAATCGGCAGTGGGGTGGAGAGATGAGGTGCGATCTCCAGCAAGTTGGCTCGTTCGTGAAGAGCCTCCTTCACCATGCGATACTGACTCACGGGGAACACAAACACAAAGATCCTCCATGTAACTTTAACATAATTCTTAGTGAGTAACATCTGTGAAGGCTGGCATGGCACACAAGGAGGTGGCCAACACCACACCCGGCCGCCTTTGTCTCCACAGTGCTTATGTTTACACAATGCACAAGTTACTCATTAAAGACTCAGTCAACTAAGAGGAGGCCCAGGACCAGTTCAAATATTCACCAGTTTCTGGCAGTGAGCAGGACTGATCTCGGGTCACCAGGTTTGTAGTGCAGAGCACTAATCACTATACTTCCACTCCCAAATGATAAAGATCCAGCGTTTAGCCTCCAGACTGTTGGGGCAAGTGCTGTTAGCAAGCACCTACGAAGGCCAGAACGGTAAACGGGGGGGGGGGTGGGTGCACAGCAACTCGATTGGCCACCTTTTTCTTCCCAGTGGGGATGTTTTCAAACTGCACCAGGTACTCATTTGAGGCTGCATCGAGCTAGGGAGGTCCAGGACCGGTTCAGATAATCGTCACTGGTGTTGGACATGAGCGGGAATCAAACTCTGGTGGCCGGGTTCATTGGCTTAAGCCTGCCTGTGTCTCGCGAAAGGATACAATTGTAAATACGCTTACAGCAGCTTTGTAATACAAGCCTGTGAATGTTACAAATCCAATGCACGAATGGACGCGAACCTGCTCGGTGTCCAGCCTCATGATGGCTTTCTGGAGATACCGGACACCCCCATGAATGAGCTTTGTGCTGCGACTACTCGTCCCAGAGGAGAAGTCATTTTTCTCAACCAACGCCGTCTTCAAACCTGACAGCGGGAGGAGCAGACGGCCACAGGCAGAGATCATCACCACCCAAGCGAAACGGGGGGCACATCCCACCAGCATTATACAAGGATCGTTTAGGTGACATTTTATCATCATCAGCAGCAGCAGCCATGATTAATCCACTGCTGGATTAAGGCCTTCCCAAGCTGCCATCGTCATCTCTTGATTGTCCCACGATGCCGAGCGGTAATTATGCAGTTTTATCCAAGTCGGTGAGATTAGATCAGCAGTACTGGGCAACGGCTCTCATTAAGACGACCACCCCACTCCAGTGACACATTAATAATATTGAATATAAATTAAAGTTAAATTAACTTAAATGAGTTACAACTTAAATGTATACAAGTTTACGTCTACGATATGTCAACAAATGCATTGAACAGCCATGGTGACGTAGATTATATCTATGTTGATATAAAATACATCAATTCGATATCAAAAAGACAAGTAATAAGCACTGAAAGACATCCATGGCATTCAATGTGTTTTTTTTAGTTCATGAATTGATATGCTTGTTGGTTTAAAAATTAATCAATAATTGTCTGCTTCTTTTGAAACGCTTCATCATTATAACAATAGTGCTGGCATCCCACCCTGGGCTCCGGACTGGAATCGTTTAGCAGGAAGAAAAAAAAACGAGGCCTGTGAGAGTGCACGCCTTGCCTACAGCAAACAGAGTGGCGCTCGGCAAAACCCAGATGTTACCATTATTAGACTTGGATAAGTTTCAACTATCATCTGCTCAGCCCTCACTGCCATCCGGCTTCGAGGTTGGTGGTTATTTTTAGCACAGTGTGATGGCAGTTTGAACATGTTTTAAGTCAGTTTTATAAACCCGTGCTAGCAGAGGAGTCAATGAGTCAAAAAGCCGTTAGCAACGGGAAATTGATTTCAGACACAGATAAAAACACCATCGTAACGAACACGTACCGCATACAATAAAGGCAATGATGTTCATCGTTACCTAAATTTAACAATAGAAAGAAGGCCTAAAAATAATACCAGTTTGTTTACACAACACTCTGGGAAGCGCCAGTGAGTCTGGGTCCTGCTTTAAAGGTGTTTGGCCAATAATAATTTTTAAAATCCATAATTTGCACGCCTGCATTAAAAAAAAAATGGTAAAAGCCAACGCAGAATTAACTCTTCGAAATAATACAAATCCATCCTGTGGAAACAACAAAGCTTCTCGAGGAGCGTTCTTCGCTTTGCCGCGCGGCTTTTTAAGAGGCGTCACGCGGCGCACGGCTGCGAGTGCGGCCGGCGTCTCTCTCCCAGGAGCCGCCCGCTCGCTCGCTCGCTTGCCTCGCGTGACGGAGTCAAGCGCGCAGCCGCAGCCTGTGGCGCCCCCGCCAATGACGAGGACGTCAAACTGCTTGGTGGTGTGCAGGCTGATGAGCTGGGCGTCGCGCGATGGCATCCCTGAAGGGGGCAGCTCGTGGGTCAAGCGCTCGGCAGCCGCCACACTCCTGAGTTGCGCCTGCACGAGAACGATCAACGCTCAGCTGCAGCGGAGAGCCCAGCCCGGACAACGGCGATGCAAGCGCGCCGCGCCTTTGACGCATATATTAAAGCATTGTCACGCGCGATGTCCGTTAAATGAGATTCAGTCTTTTTGTAAAAAGGTGGAGCGGTGGAGTCGTTGGTGCTCCTGCGCTATGAACCCAGCTACGTAAGTAAAACCGATTGCCAGTCGTGGATCATTTTGGCGGTGAATGGTATCTGAAAGAGTCCCGGACTCCCATTTAACCAACCTCCACCAACTCACGTGTTGATGGTGGTGGTGGTGAAGTATGTTCAATACAATCTCCAAGGACAACACAGCGTGGAGAAGACTTCATCCAGCGGTGGACTGACAAAGGCCCGTAATTTTGTATTTCTTTGATTTTAATATTAACAACAATATATATTATTGGTTATTTCGGTAAAGTCACGAAAGAACCAAGAATATGAATCCCTGCAGTCACGAAAGCTTTGAAGCAATATATATGTTATTACAGCCTCTGTCATTTCACAGCTGGATGAGGGGCTCTCCACAGTATCAGTCATGGGGATTGTTTGACCATACTTCATCACGTTGGTAAGTGCAGGTTACTAAAGTGGGAATGGGGTTTGGGAAGGGAGGCAGAACTGCTCCAGAGATCAATCTCCACTGAAGTTACCCATTGCTGGGACTGGAATTCACGGTGTGGGAGTCACACTGCAATCTGCTAGGCACTGTGCCACTGGTGTGCCCTAGCCATATATACGATGGCTGTGTTCAATGCATTTTCTTATTTTTGTGTAGGTTTTAAATAACCTCGCCTATTCTTAGTTTTTTCGGTAAAGTCACGTTGAAGAGAAACAACAAAATAACAAAGTATATATAAAACAATAAAAAATTCTCACGACGTTTCGACCATAACTCAAACGGTCATCATCAGGTGTGTCGGTTTGCATAAATTTATTTTGAAAACGGCATATTTATTTTGAAAACGGCATATTTATATATATATAAATAAATATGCCGTTTTCAAAATAAATTTATGCAAACCGACACACCTGATGATGACCGTTTGAGTTATGGTCGAAACGTCGTGAGAATTTTTTATTGTTTTATATATACTTTGTTATTTTGTTGTTTCTCTTCAACGTGACTTTACCGAAAAAACTAAGAATATGAATTACTGCAGTCACGAAAGCTTTAAATCAAAATTTAACCTCGCCTAGTTATGGAATTGTGTCATGAGCAATTTAGAATGTTGTGATTTCAACACAATGGCCTGCTGCTGACAACGCAGTCACCGGCTGTTTAACAGATATTATGCAGAGGAATTTCCCAAGGCAACTCCTGGCCAAATGTGGGAGGCAATCTACAATCATACTTTTTTTCCAATTCACAAAACTAACGGACGTGAATGCTGACTCGTCTTACTAGCTGCGCACATTTAAAACATCTCGCAGTGGCAAGATGTTAACTACCTCACCTGGTATACAGTAGGATGTGGGTTCGATCCCGACCCTGACAACTGTATATTTGGAGTTTGCATGTTTTCCCTTTCGGTCACGTGGATTGTTCTCCAGACCCTCCAGTTTTTCCCTCCACTATTAGAATCAACATGCTTTTAGATTATTTGGCTGCTATAACATTCCACGTGATGACAAGCCACTTCGCTGAGCTATGATTTGTGGCCAGGTCGCTTCTACAAAAGAGCTATAAAGCTCAGTAGGCCTTACCTGGTAAAATAAAAAAGTTTATGAAATAGTTGTATAGTTTAAAACACCTTTGAAAACACAAGTCGTTTGCTTTTTGTCCATCTACACTGCCTAATCGTACCAGGCCAACCATACAGATATAAAACAATATATTGATAGTTCTAACATTTACTTAAAATATTAACTATTTAACTAAGTGCATTATATGAACAAATGCAATAAATATCCTGTTCTGGATGGTATTTCAAAGCCAGAAATATAAATTATAAACTAAACAATCAAGATTATTGTAATTGTCTTTCCTAATCCCAGAAATGGAACAAGAATTACATATTATAATAGGGTTTAATTGTACAACAATACAAATTAAATTAGTGCAGTGGGAATAATTATTGCCTACATTTAAAAAATGTATGAGAGTCCTCATATGCCTAATCTTTACAAGAATTTAAGATAATCTTCCCATTAATACGACAGCAGTTTAATTAAAAATAACTGTGTAAGTAACTGTGTACCATATGTTTGAAGAACAAAAGTACCGCATATTCACATTTTTTTAAATCAAATATCAGTAAATTAAAGACAAAAAGTAGCATTCATATAAATAAAAATTGAACAATCTAAAAACTATTTTTTTTTGTAAAGAATAATCTTCAATAATTTGATTCGACAATGCAAATTGACTTGTGTAATTAGTCATGGAATTTTATCTACAAATGAAAAAAAATTAAATTGTCTTCTTTACACTCGTAAAATAACTTATGGCTAATAAAGTAATGTTAATTATGGTTATGTAAGAGTAAATGTGAAGTTTACAAACCATGTTCAACAGATGTGCGGCGCTACGACTTATCAGAAAAGTATTACATGGGGGGAGTTATTTTCCATCCATTCCAACGTTTGGACTTGCTTCAAGCTTTCGGCAGACCCTGCGTGTGCTCTTGTTTACCTCCCCATTACGCATAGGATGTTCTGGAATTTATAAATACCAAAACATGCAAAGTCTACGGTTCTGGAAATACCATACATAAAATGTTCAAACTTTCACATACGTTTTAAATTAATGACCGCAGCATGTTGCTAATATCAGACGTCAAACAGACCATGTTCCACTTCCCTTCGCTTGTGCCGCACGTTAAACGAACTGTGAGAGATCACAGCGAGTGCCTTTGCGGTTGACACCACGAAGGGGCCGTGGTGACTTTTTCCCGGCTCTGCAGAGGGCGGCAGCTGCTGGACAGACGCTGCCTTGTCTCATAGCATCCTCTGACCCACGCGCGGGTTTCCCTGTGACGTTGTGCGAAATCTCTCCTCGGGTACACCCACCTTGTGCTTCTTATATTCCATGAGCTCCGAGAGTCCATACACAGTCACGAGCGCCCCTCCGGCTGTAAGCAGGCTTCCTGTCACCACTTTGCGGAACGCCATGATTGCTACTTTTTTTTTTGCAGACACACGCAGACACGCACACGTGTGCACACACACACACACACGCGTGAAACAAAAAAATAAGCTGAGGTCAACGTAGCGCATATGAGAACCTGGTCAAAGAGTTTAGAATGAGATATGAACACGCAAGGCATAATTTGAATCCTCCATCTTTGTGTATAAATAATTGATTATGGGATACAATATTGAGGATTAGGTAATAAACGTGACCTTGTGTATCCCTTTAGTATCCTATTCTTGGAAATCACAATCTTTCAACAAGGAAATTGTGATATTTATATTATAGACGAGTATAATATTTCTACACTACCAAAATAAGCACCAGAAACAAAATCTTGATTTATCCTGGAAAAATCTGATTAGCTTTTAAGCTCTCTTTCACAAATCTCCAGTGGTTGACTGTATAACAAGGTGTATGATTTTAGTTCATAGTAGTCTCCCATTGGAAATTAATTCAATCCAATCATGTAGAAAACAAAGATTTAAAAATCTCCGGTGTGTGACTGTGGTGACCCAGAACAGACCGTGGAACATTTAACAACTCAATGCCCGATTCGCAAATACAAAGGAGGCATTACAACGATAGACTCCGCTACCCCTAACACAATAATCTGGTTCAACCATACCAATGTAATATTTTATAGTTGTTGCTCGACATCAACATCAAACAAATGGAAAATAAGAACGTGCAGTAGTGATAACCATGTGGTAGTATATTTAACTACTCTTATACGTGGCCAAGGCAAAGCCAACCGTGCTAAACTTTAACGAGCACATAACGATAAATAATAACACTGTTTAAAAAGTATGTAAAAGTACTCCATTCCGATGTCCAGGTCAGCTGGTTATATCTGTCAGGGGCGGTCAAAGAATAGCGTGAATATTCGGCACACACCACATCAGTCATCAGAAATCATTGTCTGGTTGTATAATGCGACAAAGGCAGCATTAACCATGGTAAACTCTCAGCCGCTGCTTTGAGGTGTCAATTGGCTGCCAGGCCCACATTGGCCATTTTAACATGAATACTTACACACATAAACAATTATGTACACACACTGTCACACATAAACAGATATGTACACACACTGTGTCAGTGTAAGGAATGCGACTGTTTCACAAAATCAGACGCTTCATTTGTATTTATTGCTAGCAGTTTGTGTCATTTGAGCCGGAGAAATACAAAACATGCACATCTAAAAGTAGATGGCTTTTTTATTTTTTTGCATTTTTTATATTACGTATTTATTCGACATGCTCTTTGACCATGTTACAAAATGTTATACTTTACTTACAAAAAACACAACATGGAATTCCTTTTAATACACGAACAAGAAATTGTAATATCAAACATATCAATACATTGAGAAAATATGCGTTTAAAAACTATACTGCAAGGCCATTAATTGACAAGGTGAAATAAGACACTTCTGCTTAATCAATCAAATATTTGAAGAACAACTATCACTGCGACCATACATTCTCATTAAGTGTTGTTAAAACCGAGTACTGGTGAAAAGGCGGTAGACTTTTGATTATAATTTTTAAACAAGTTAGATTATATATTAATTCGTTTGAACAGTATTTACTTTATCATTGAAGAAAAACGAATGGTCAAAAATAATGTGTATGAAACTAAGCATTTAGCTGCTAAAAGGCAATTGTGATCAACGTCTCGCAGACAAAAGGTCAAAAAATGTGAATCACCCCATGTATATACAAATTATATCCGTATTTCACAGAATTCCTTTGTCAAGAGTGGCTTAGTGATGATGAAAATGCATTTCTTGGTTGATTGGCTATAGACTCCTGAGTTGAAGTCCCGGGAACACCCAAGAAGGAGTGTTTAGATGCTGTTATTGACATTAGTTAAGATAAAACATACTGTGCAAGGAATGCGCATATACCGCGCATGCATGGATTATATAACTCGTTCCAACTTACGTTTGTCCTCAGAGGTATTTAACTGGCAATACTAGTTTAACACGTAGGCTTTCGCGACCAATATTATTCATAATAAACGTTTTTGGGTTAGATCGCGTTATTTATAAATGTGTCGTAACCCCCCACCACCCGACACGGCCAATCAGCAAAAAAAAAAGTGTCACGTTGACAAAAGACAAATAATTCACTACTTTAGCCCCACACCGGTGTGTTGAAGAGTGAATCCACAACATTTACAATTTTTGAGTACGACGTTTCGCTGGTAATTACATCCAGCATCATCGGGCAATTCGCCAGAATGGTGAAGCCCTCACTTGCTCCCGGTCTTAAATAGGGTGACGTCATCATTCCAACACACCTGTGGGCTACAGTAGCGAACTATTTGTCTTTTGTCAACGTGACACTTTTTTTCTGCTGATTGGCCGTGTCGGGTGGTGGAAGGTTACGACACATTTATAAATAACGCGATCTAACCCAAAAAAACGTTTATTACTGGCAATAATAGTTTACATTTCAAACCACAGAAGATAACGTCACCACAGCGTAATGACGGGTTCCGTCGAGCAAGGAATGACATCATCAGGAAGAGATGCTTCCCCTTTTATCGCTGGATTTTGTCTCCAAGTGTTTGTAAACCCTTTGATCAGTGTGGCCGGTTTTTCTATTGAGTAAGTCCCTAATAGCAAGGACACTTTATACAGTACTACAGTTTGGTTCAAATTGTAATCATCCTTCCTAGAGTTATTGTGCCCACCCCCCCCCTCTCCACACCGCCACCCACTCTTCAAACAGATGGACGGAGATGTGCATAAAAATGTCGTATTTATTTGGTGACCATGACTTATACAGGCTCAAGGGGCACCTCGTGTCACTCAGATTTCGGACAATGTTTAAAGACACCATGTAAACCGACTATGATAAATCACCTCGTGTATGGAGAAGCAAGGCCTTTCCCCATATTAACTTCCATGTTGCACACTGTACACATGTCGAACACGCACCAAATGTTCCCTTATTAAGTTGAAATATCCGCCTGGCGTATGTTCAGGGGCGAAGACATTGCAACCACTGTTTTTAACAGTACTTGATTGTTTATTACAGCAGTTGTATTGTGCGGGGATGGATGGAGAACAACGTGCACCGTGTTTTACAAGTTGTGGATTCACAACGGAGTGTGCAAGGCTGCTGAAAAGAAATCTACATTTCCCACTCCCCTACCAAAAAAGACTCGCTCAGTGCCCACGATACCTACAAAATAGACAAAGATTTCCCATATATCATAAACAGATTGTTAGGGCAAGTGAAGGCCGGCACGGCACACGAGGAGGTGGATGGCCAACACCAAGCCAGGCCGCCTTTGTCTCGCCAGTGGCAATGTTAACACACTATACCAGGTACTCATTTGAGGCTGAGTCGACCTAGAGGAGGCCCAGGACCGGTTCAAATAATCGCCACTGATGTTGGCCGTGGGCGGGAAATCGAACTTGGGTCGCCGAGTTCATAGCGCATTGCGCTAATCACTACATAACCACTCCCCACATGATATATATCACAAACTTGCCAACCCTAAAGACCTAACGACACAAACCTCAATGCATTTGACAATAACGCTGCCTTAAAATAAATAAATTATATATATAATCGATTATGCTTCAGGCTGTGGTCCTTCTTCACAGGACATAAATCGCCAATTTAAGCAGCAGACTCTTGATGGGTTTTCAATTAATTTTTATTCTCTACCGAATTTCAAAGAGTTTAAACTAAACGCTGTTTTTGTTTTAAAAAAATTGCTTTTAAATATTGGTATGTGGTAAAATGACGGATTTAAATATCGGCAGCATACCACTTAAATCAGTCCGGTTGGTGGGCATTGTTTACAGCATGTTTTATATAAACATTCACACTGCAGTACCGAATAAAATCAATATGCAAGGTAACTACGGGGAATATTAGCTCATTTAGTCTCTGAGTACATGTCCATTTTAGAAATCAGCAAATCTACTCCAAGCATAAAAAACATAAACTCAGAGGCATCATTACACGGAGAGCATCGTTTACATTAGCCCATTATAATAGGACTGTTATTTTTATTTTATAGTCAACCTTTTGTTAATCAACTGCCAGAATAACCCGCGTGTCAATGAGTGTCTTCAATTGTCCAATATTCCCCCATCACCCCACCACCCCTGCCCCCCAGCTGTGAATAAATGAAGTCATGATTAAGGTTCACAATTAAACTTAAAAGAAAAGTCTCGCCAAATATCTCTTTTGTATTATAGATTTTTTTTTAGCTCTCGTTTGTACTTTTGTTCTCTCCATAAGCCTAAATGTAACATTAGCTACGTGAATTATAAACAATGAATTTTCAAAAATCTAAATAATCAAATCTTCTTTGGTGTTCATTTTGAGTGTACGAACCAGTTTTAAGTGATTAATGGATGATGCATCACTATGTGCCAAGTGACCAACCAGCTCTATGTTTGTTTCAAGAATCGCGTCAAATTTTGTACTTCTGTTAATTTTTACAATTGTACTGCCAAATATCGTTTTCCACGTTCGGCCACGTGTTGAGCACATCTTCTCTCCAGATTATGCACCGTGAAAAAAAAAGTTACATGCTACGGTTGTTTCTGCCTTGATACATCTCGTACCTCACTTTGTTGGCACACTTTGTTCGGTGTTAATGATGTTCTGTTTTAGACCTCCCCCAGGTCTCCCTTGAAAAAAAAGACGCGTTCGTGTTCATCGGCTCTCACCTGGTCATAAAGTTCTCACCTGGTCATAAAGTTCGTGCACGACGTGTGTGCCACGTTTAAGTGCCACCGCCACACAGCGTTGTTTCAGAGGTAAACTGATATTTTTGAGCCCTTCAGCATATTCCTGACTTTTGTAAATGGCAGATTAATGTATTTGGAATAAGCAGATTATTCTACCCTTAACAAATATTTAAGACACTCCTGATAATACCCCCATTGAGGCATTAACTAATACAGCTACTCTATAATAAAGAACACAACTGTGCACTCTGTGAATTACATCT